GAGGTAAGGAGTGTAAACTGTATAATTACTAAATTTTTCATTGGGTGACTAGGTTAAGTTCGTCTTGCACGTTTCGTGCTGGAAGCATAATTTTATCTTTTTCACTCATTATACGCTGAAGGAAGATAGAATGATACTTTCTGCACGAAAGCGTGCAAGACGAATTTAGCCTTAGAAAGAATTATGATGTATATTTATTTAATCTAACCCAACCTAATCTAATTTAACCTATATGTGAGCACGCGCGCGCGCTGATTGTGCACTGTGTGGATATGAGTATGTGTATAGGTTACGATGATAGGTGAATATACTGAAGACATCCCATAGATACTCCTATAATATCTTAGACGATATTCTCAGTATACACTGAGAAGCAAGAAAAGGATGACATAGAAACGATCTTACTATGTTTTCAATATTTGCAGTAACGTATTTCGAATATTCTGAGAATATATACGTAATATATTTTTACGATTTTCGTAGAACATTCTGAGGATGTTTTGTGCTGTTAAGAATGTAGTGTTTCGCACGTATTTATTGGAGTAATGTGTGTTGTGTGTAGTCGCATTTTACAAAAAAGACTTTTGCATTTAAAATCTTTAAAATCTTTTACATTTTTAGTTTTTGAAAAAAAAAAATTTGAGCAATGCTGACTTTATATTTAAATTTAAATTCGGTCTTCCCTCTCTATAGAATTATTAAAATTCTTTTATAAACTTTTTCTGCAAAATTCTTATGGAGTGATTAAAATTCTTCAGTAAAATTTCTTTTACAAAAATGCAGTCACGCAAATTAAAGATTAGAAATGATATGTTTTTATTTTTTCTCAAAATAAGGCATGCTGAAGTTTGATAACCCTCACAGCATATTGCCATAAGGTTACAGCAACCTTAAATTGTAAGATGGTAATATTATACGGAGATTAATAAACCTGTCACTAACCTTCTAATAACATGAAAATATTCGTCCATGCTCATTCCATTAACATTATCCATACAGCACAGAAATATTGCAGGAACATTGTAGAAATATTTCATTGCAAGATTGCAACATTGCAAATACATTGCGAGATATAACTGTAACATTACTATGATGTTGCAGCAACGGTAAAATGTCCACTTTCAGAAAGATTACGTTGTAATATTATAGCAATATTGGAATGCAATATACAGAGTGTCTCACACTCTCCTCCGGACATTTTGTGGGGACGTAGAGGTTGAGGTGAACATAAAAGTCCTATACCGTTTTGCAATATTCGCAATAATTATCGAGATATTGTAGAAAACTTGTAAATAATCATACAGAATATGATAAGTGAGTTAGTAGCGACGACTGCCGTCGTGTACTTATACTTTAGGTCAAATTGAACAAAAAAGTCCTCTACAATTTTCCAAATAATCACATAGATTTTTAATTATTAATTAAAGAAGATTATTGCACAATTTTGCGTGATAATGCACTCATTTTCTTTAATTAATAATTAAAAATCTATGTGATTGTTTGCAAAATGGTAGATGACTTTTTTGTTCAATTTGACCTAAAGTATAAATACACGACAGCAGTCGTCGCTACTATAACTCATTTACCATATTCTGTATGATCATTCACAAATTTTCTACAATTAATATCTCGATAATTATTGCGAATATCGCAAAACGGTATAAGACTTTTATGTTCACCGCAACCTGTTCTACGTTTCCACAAAATGCCCAGAGGAGAGTGTGAGACACCCTGTATATACAGAAATATCATACTAAGAAATACTGAAAAATTATTAGTAATTAAGTATTACCAGTAGTTCAGTAATTTTTTAGTCAATACTTAATTTCTAATGAATACTGATAATAAAGTTACTGTTAAATATTGATAATTATCAAATACTGAGAATTATTGTGCGAAGATGAAAAATAAGAAAATCATAATATTTAAAAAAATATATTTATAATTTCTAATTTTCTCATGTCTCATAAACCACTAGGTATCAAAGATTGTCAATAAACACTCCACATTTTCGTGAATCCTCCTTCAATAATTTCGATCCCAAGCGGCATATCACCGGTTACTCTCCTATGTCCTGACTCCGTTAAAGTGTTTTGCTTAATCTGATGATCGAGCGGCGATTCCCAATGACTCCAACAATATTCTTATGATTTATGCTTATATAATGTATCCTTATAGTGTTCACAGTATATTATAACATACTTAGCAAACACCAAATAGTAGTTATATAACTTTTACTTGGTATTTGTTGGATAATTTGCTCATAGATATTGAAACAATGCAACAACATTCGATATGCGATGAATATTGATGTAATGTAGTGAACCAGTGATAATTACTTTTAAATTTTTAACAGAATGTTATAATGATTAATTTAAACAAAAAAAAAAAAAAATAAAAAAATAAAAAATCCAAGAAAATCCAAATCAAATAAATCGAATTACAAAATTTTGAAATAAACTTTTAGAAAATTTTAAACTATTTAAAACAATAGTGGTGTTTCATCAAATGACATGGTTTCCTTGAACGAAATAAAAGTTTTTATTTTCATCATTTTTAAAAATGATATTTCGTTTAAGAATATAATATTTTAATGAAACAAAAAGAAACCACAAAAATAAACAAGTACAAATATTAAATCTAAAGAAAGTGTTTTCTCCGAAAAACGGTATAAGAAGTATAAGAAATATTTTTCTCTTTCTGGAGCGAAAAAAATACGCAGATCTCGAACACACGGCGTCCCGCCGCCACCTAGTATGCCCTCCTCCTTCTATGGTGGATCCCCCATGGCGCATTGCGTCCAAGCACCCGGGGGCTGCCAAAAAATTGGTGTCTACCCCGGGGCTTATTTGTATTATTTGCACCGGATGAGGAGAGGCAACGGTAGAGACGGGCATACATGGACAGCAGGTCTTAAAGGATAGCAACCTTTGACTTTGAGAGACTGACAGCTGTACCATTTGGTACAGTAACATTATTTCTCTCTGTAGTCGCCGTGCGCTCGGGATCGCGCCAGAGATGTCGCTTCCGAACGGCATCTCTGAGCGTTATTTAGGAAGAGGAGAGTGTCGTGAGCGTGGAGCGTCAGGTAGCTCAGTGGTTTAGAGCAGTCGCCCGACAAGCGAAAGACCCGGGTTCGAGTTCCGGCCTAGCAGGACCGCGCTCTCGATATTTTTCTCTTTCTGGAACGAAAAAGATACGCAGATCTCGAACGCATGGCGTCCCGCCGCCACCTAGTAAGTATGCCCTCCTCCTTCTATGGTAAAAACGGCATAAGAAGTATAAGAAATATGTAATAAGACAAATTCTAGTATTAATGACTGCCGTTAACAAGTACTATTCTATAACCATTATTGATGTGAAACATTACTGCATTTGAAATATAAGTAACAAAAATAACCAGTAAATAAGTAAAAAATATTATATTCGTAATATTTTTTAAATATTGCTAAAGTAATATTGCAAATTAATGTCACTGCAATGTCTCTGCAACATTGCACTGCAATATACATCTTGCAACGTTGTAGCAATATTGCTGCAAGCTTCTGTGCTGTATGGGGAGTATAAACTGTTTGCAACGTTAGTATAATCGACGTCAGTCGGAAAGATTGTCCGGATTTTTTGTGATTTTCGGAACGCATCTGTCTTGTCCAATGAGAAAATTCTCTTAGGGTCGATTGTTTTAACTTCTTGGTAAATTAATTAATAGTTAAATCATATGTCTGTTTTTCCCTTAGTTTAGACAAAGACGGATATATGATTAATTATCAGTTAATTTACCAAGAAGTTGGAACAATCGGACCTTATTAACCAACAAATTCTTCTATTGAATAAGATGAATGCATTCCGAAAATCATAAAAAATAACCTTTCTGACGCCGAGTCAGAACATACACCGTTGCACTTTTAGTGTTACATGTGTCGAGATCGCCGCAAACGATTGGATATCCTCTCCACCAATCGTTCGCCGAAGCACTTGACGCTCGTTGAAAACGTGCTGTTATTCACGAGGTAAATGCCATGGACTCCGCATACGGCCAGAAAAGTAAATCCAACATGTAGAAAGAGATCATAGACATAATATACATAGACTCTGCATACAGTCAGAAAAGAGAAGCCAATATGTACAGCCCTTCTGTTCTCTGTTTCTTTCTGCACAGACAAAGTATGCAATAAGATTTAAGTAAGACGTTTACTTAAATCGCCAGTCTAGTCGGGGTGCAGTTGTGCTCTATAATATTATGGAAACGAAAAATGGACGCACGCGTGACAAAAAAATGACAAAATAGGAAGAAAACTATAGCTTATTCTCACTCTCTTTCTAGATGTTGGCTTCACTCTATTAGACGACGAACATAGAACATTCGGAGTCCATGTATACTATATCCATGGTGAATGCTCGGATATTACCAGAAAAGATTCTCGGAGCAGCAAACGTTCTTCTACTTTATGCTAGAGGCTGCGTTCCGAAATTCACTACCAGTACTGAAAATCTATAGTTCATGTTACATATACTATAGAATTTCAGTACTGGCAGTGAATTTCGGAACGCAGCCAGAGTCCCGAGTGATGATTTGCTTGATTCGCCATCTTAACTTCACTTCCAACCGCAATTGAGCAAAAGTAACGCGACTCACTTTCCATGCAAACAGAACATCGCATCAGGCACGCAGCTCATAAGAGAAGCCGAAAATTTTCCTAGTGAATTTTGCGAGTACATTTGAGTCAATCATAACGACACTTTACAGCACATCTCGGTACTCGGACTACATTGCGATAATCAATCGCACTTGTTGACGATCGCTCGACAATTAATTCCGCGTTTTGACCTAAGTACCCTTTTTTTTTGTCGTACAGTCGTCTCCCATAGTCGTCGCACAGTTATTCTCACTGTTCATTTAAAATCCTACTTTCATTTAAAATCCACTACTTTCCAGCTGCAGCGCCTCCAGCCGAAGGTAAAGAGCCAGCCGCTCGTACGACACCGCGCGCGCATGCGCGGGCAGTCAGATCGCTGACGCAGAGAGTACGTCAGCTGTTTTGTTAAGGCTCTTAGCAGAGGTGCGTGCGTGTTCCCGTCCGCCGTCATCGGGAATGGTGTTGCATTGTTGACTTGGAGAGACATTTCTCTCTTGTCGTGTCGTTACACGTACTCGCAACGGTCTCACATTCCTTTGTTCATCCCGTGTGCGCCCAGAAGGGAGAGAGAAAGACTGTGTGGTGTGTGTGAAAGAGAGAGAAAGAGAGAGAGAGAAGAGGAGAGAGGGAGACAGAGAGAAACGCAGTGGCCTGGCGCTTCGCTCACGGGCGGTCTCACGAGCGAGCCGTCGTGCGATTGCAAAGTCGCATCGTCGCCTCGTAAACTCGCAACCGCGTCGCTCTGCTCGAGCATCTCTCACTCGTTCTTCGCCGAAATTCTCCCTCGGTTATTACCCGCAGCGTGCTACTCCGTAGTGTTCACGGAAAGAAGAAGAAGAAGAAAAAAGTCCAGCACGTCGTCGCTCGGCGATTCGTTACGCGGCGGCCACACTCGACGGACAAGCGAGAGAGTTTCTCGGTGGTTTCGGACCCATCATCGAGCGCTGTTGTTGTGCGCGACCCGTACGAGCTGAGGGAAAGCAGAGAAGAGAGGAGAAAGAGAGAGAGAGAAGCCGTTGTGGACTATGGCACAGCCGACGAGCAGCGCGTTACGGGCGCTAGCCCTCGAGTACAAGAGCCTGCAAGAGGAGCCCGTCGAAGGCTTCCGCGTCAAGCTCGTCAACGAGGACAACATGTTCGAGTGGGAAGTCGCGATCTTCGGGCCGCCAGACACACTCTACCAGGGCGGTTATTTCAAGGTACCGTGTGCGCTACGCTGTTTACGGTGATCTGTCGTGTGTGTGTGTGTGTATGTGTATGTAACGTGTATGCTTGGCGCGCGTGTGCTTGCGCGGGGTCGACGCGAGAGAGCAACGGGGTCGTATGCACGCGTTATCGACGATTATATTATTGCGCGATAATGCACGAAACGACTGTCGTCGTTCTTTCTTGGTTAGGTCGGAACGCGGTGCGACGTAACGCGACGTCACGTCACGTCACGTCATGTAGCGTCGTGTCGCGTCGCGTCGCGTCGCCTTGCCCCGTAAGTTCGTTCCTTTCCCTCGGCGAACGGAATAAAAGAGTCAGTCGTTTCCGGTGCGAACGAGAGACGCGGACGGCGATCGTCCAGGTGTGCCTTGGCGAGCGATTCTGTCTCTCCGAGCGAGACCTGTTCCCCTTTACCTAGCGCTGCACTGGACCTTCGTTCCTTTTCCCCTCAGTGATACACTCATTTCGCTCTAAAGGCAAAAAGTGCGACCTAGTTCGGCTGGGCGATACACTGAGCGAACGAAGAAGTGATATATTTGCGCCTACCTTGCGCACAAACTTTCTTTGATAAACCGCGCCATATGAGCGAGTTGACCCGAGTAAGACGTTTGGATTCGCCAAGACGCACACATGTTTTTAATCACAAGGCGGAAATTTGCATTCGTTGTTCGTTCGTTTACGCTCAATATGTGTACCCAGCTAAAAAAAAAACAGTCTGTTTTCTTCTGTCTCTTATTATTTCTCTCTGCCTCTCCCGTCCTCTCGATCGTGGAAAGCGTAAACAAAGCGACCTCCGTTCGGCGGACGTGGCTTGTGACAAAGTGTCGCATAAGCATTTCGCATGGTCCAGCTTCTATTTATGCTAACGCGAATAATATATATCTTAACCTCGCGCATAACGCAACAAAACCCGATAAAGTTCGATCAATGTTATTGACGAGCGTTTCGACTCGTTCGAAAGAACGAGCAAGCGCTGTATTTGCGCTAATGCGATGCGGAATACTTATCTACGCGCGATATCGCGCAATTTCGATGTGTTATTTGTGCATCGGGTCGTACTCTTCTACTAATACAATATTATGAGAGAGAGGGAGAAGGGGAGAGACGGAAGCGTCGAATTAATTTGATATTTTCTGCACGATCGAGTCGCATCCAAGTTCTCTTCTCGAGACAAAAGCAAATTAAACGCCAAGTTCAAATGACCTCTCTACATCTCAATAACGAACTGTAGTCGATAGCTTTACATGTTTGGCAACGACGAGCTTTGTGTGCCTATTTGTCCCGTTGAAAGGAGCAGTTGGTTAATATTCCGTTTATCGCAGGTTGCTGTAGATAACGCGTTCGGAGCAATCTGGAATTATGTACGTACGATATTGAGGTAACGGTATGCAGCGGCAGTTACCGTTATTAATATCTACGCGTAGCCCAATAGCGAAATGACTTAAATAGTCGCCTTTATTGACGATTAATGTCGCCGAATGCGCCATTGCGGAATTTCGAGTTTACTGCGTATGGCCGTGCGCCTCGTCTCCTATCCTCTTGAGCCAATGTTTATCTCGGAAATTTTAGTCTCTCTCTCTCTCTCTCTCTCTCTCTCTCTGCCAAGCGAATTGTGACGATCACACGTGAGACATCGCGACTACCTTGACCGAACGACTGACAATGGTCGCGTCACAATGTTACTTCGCGCGTTCCCTCTCTTGCTCGTACGTTAATCGCGAAATCTGATAACGCGACAACACGATAATTGGTCGTAGGGAGAACGAGGCCTTTCGCCTATAGCAGAGTTCTTTTGTCGTGAATCCAAACCCGAACTTCATACGTTCAACACACAAGTTATTTATACACATCAGAGTAGCGGCCATGTAACTTTTTTCTAAAGGCGGAAACGTGAGAAGTGAAAAGCTTCACGTGAACTCCACGACTTTGGCGATCATGTAACTTGTCAAACAATGGAAACGTGAACATTTTCGCGTGAAACTTTTCACGCTAGGGGAAAAGATACACGATCGACAGTCGGGGTAATTATCGACCATGTATTTTTCTCCTAGCGTGAGCTCGTGAAAATTTTCGTATTTTTATTATTTGAGAAGTTGCATGTTGACGTCGTCGGATTCACGCGAAACTTTTCACTTTGCACGTATTCGCTGTTGGGAAAAAATTACATGAACGCCAGCCAGGTGCGAGAAATCGAACAGATGCCCCTCAAACCGAAAAGATTCTCGTGCAGCTTTTCGCTCGAGTCTGACGTCATCGTGCGATACAATACGATTATGTGATAAGGGGAGGCAGAGTAGTCTTAACGACCGGCCGACTTAAACGCCACAAAATGAGTCCCGTCATTGCCGCCGCGGTTGTAAACCTTTTTGCATATTCCAACGTGCCGGGCGCTCGTCATCCCGTCCGCTTTCTAAACCACTCTCCGGCTCGTCGTGAACGACGAGTGAACGCCTATTCACGTAACGCAATGTGTCTTCCCACAACGCGTAACCCAACGGTAATGAGCGCGGCGCGCAACGTCGTTTCTCGTGCAAACCGTATATCCTGCGCGTGTACGATACGGTACGGTGTGTATAAATCCGTCCGCGCGGCTATTTCGAAAGACTGCGAGCCGCCACGGCGCGCTACGCGTCGTGGATTAATCTATTATCCGCTTTACCGTAATCACGTTAGCCCTTAACCGGTGAATGCTCGGGTCGTGATCGACGTTGCCGCTCAGGTAAACAGTCGCTCTCGTCTCGCGCTCACGCTCCGGTTATCTTCGTAGATGAGTGACTCCCCGCTCGTTTTCTTTTCGATCGTCCGCGCGATTTATGGAGCAGAACTGTCGAGTCGAGCCTCGCCAGCTTGATGGATAATGATCCCGAGCTTTGGGCGCGCATCGCAGCTTAGAGAGCGCAAATAGCTGGCACACGAGGTAGATGGTAGGCTACACGTCTCGTTTGAAAGTCCAAGTCGGATTTTGTTTTATTGCTTTACATTAGTCCATTCATGCCGCTACCGTCTATCACGTAATCGAGGCTTATCGGGAGATTCTCGCCGCGATACACGCGCCGCCGTCTACTCGATAATAGAGATGCGAGAAACGATCGGAAGTACCGTTGCCCGCGTTCATTTTCGACGTGCGTCACGTGTATTACAGCGAATATGTCGAAGCTGCTTTTGACTTGCGACTGTACGCTGCGCTGCGCCGTGCTGTGTTTAAAGCGCGGGCACACTGGCTTTTACGACAGAAATGGCAAACGCGATGGGTGACCAAAAATATTTGCGCCCGTGCCATTACTGCGGGAATAACGTTATGCGGTGGAAGATAATACCATCGCGCACAGAGGCGCATTATTCGATATATTGAAACGAATGAGAGAGGGAGAGAAACAACATATCGATGATACCGATTACTGGCTGGATACACATGGATACGATACACATCTCGACTGGAAATTGATCCCATGATCAAGTTCGTTTCAATCAACTTGGTTTCTACAAGGTGGTGTTATCGAATCATAATTATTAATAAAGTTCTTATTATTAATAATTATTATCAATGAAGTCTCGATTGTCATGCTGTGTCGACTTACGACTTACGAGGAGCCGACAATATCACCTTGTAGAAAGCAGATAACTAATTAAGATCAAGCTGACCATGAGATAAATTTCTGGCCGGAATATCTCACAGCGGTGTTCTCCATGTTCTTTCTCGACGTGAAATTGTTTCTCGAAGTAATAGGCAGAACGAATGTTTTTATTCGCGGCATTGTTGATGCCTCATTTTCACGTTTCAATGGTCGCCGTTAAGAGCTGGAATCAGACTAGCGATTGCCGATTGGCGACTAGTGTGTTTAATCAATCAGAGCAACACAATCAGTAGCTACTTTACTTTAATTGCTTGAAAACTAATCGGCAATCGCTGGTCTGATTCGGGCTTTACACGAGTGCGAACAATCACGCTTCGCGCGATGGAAAACGACGCGTTCTGTCGGGTTTCTGCCTGATCGTAATCGATTTCATTGAGCCCTTACATGATCGCGCGCACCACCGGCGTTCGAAAGCTCCCCCGTCAGAATTTATGCACGACGCGGTAAAAGCGCGGCGTGGAGGAGGGGGAGGCAGCGCGAGGCTGCCAAGTTACATAAAATGCCATCGAGCGTTGTCTCGATTCTATTCCTGGGCGCAAGCGAGCCCTATACCGATCGGCACGGCCAACTTTCACCTAATCTCGTCCCGTTTTAAAACAAACGAGCCGATACGCCGTTGCCGTCCGAGGAAAAGTCGATCTCTGCTGTCTTAATAAACAAAGTATGCGGTGACCCGCTTTGTCGTCCCAGAGGGACAGACCGACCCCTCGTCTTGTCTCGTCTCATTTGCCACGGATGAAACTCGCCGTCGTCTGCTTCTCAATCGGTCTTCATCCTTTCACCTCGCGACGAGATGGGCATCTCGCCTCTCGCGAGTACCACAACTTTCCACGAGAGTGCAACCGCGAGAATCGATAGTTGATACACACAACGTGCAGGAAGGAGCCCGGTCGACTCGCGCGGCGGCCCTTTTGATCCCCTTTTCATGAGATGCCGTGTCCTGCTCTTTAAGTTTCTTTAGTTTCACTCGACAGGTAGAGTGACCATCGGAGTCACTCGAATGATTTTTCACTTGTATAGAGTGAAATTCTTCCCGCTCGTCGAACAAATATTTTCACTCGAAATTGAAAAGCAATCTGATAGTCGCAAAATGGTTCAGACGCAATCAAATTGGGAGCTCACCAAACTGTCAAAACTATTGACGGGTTAGTCCAATAAATATAATATAATAATTATTAGTTATTATAATTCACTATTATTGATTCATAATTATATCATTATTGCGTTAATCCGTCGACTCTCAGTTTTGATCATTTGGTGAGCTTCCAACTTCATTGTGTCTAAACCGTTTGCAAGTCACTCTACTCCACTATCACACACGAAAAAAAAGATTTGGTTGAATTAATCAAACATCTGGTCGAATATGAACGATCTAGAAATTCCGACTGAAGTAATCCGAATTCCGTTTAAGTTAATCCCTTGACTGTGGATGACGTGTATACGCGCATGAAAAAGTCGTGTCACCAGTGTGGATGACATGTATACACACATCGAAGAAAAAAAATAGTAAAATAATATTGTTCTTTGCATATAAGTAAGTATCTATATGTTTTTGATGTCGCTGAATTTGATATCAAAATTTCGAAATTCAAAATGGCGGATCCAACATGGCGGGTCAAAATTTTGAAAAAAAATCGGATTTTCATAAAAGTGGGTATCTATATGTTTTTAGGGTCGCTGAATTCAAATTTGATATCAAAATTTCAAAATTCCAAATAGTGGAATAAAAAATTTTTAAGTACAAAAAAACATTTACATAATATCGCTCTCTGCCGAATCCGGAGACACGAAATGAGGATGTGGCGGTTTTTGAATCCATTTTTATATATTTTTTGTTTTTGTAATTTTTAATTTTCCTTTGTTTTTATGTTTGTTTTTTTTTGTTCAGACGAAATGTCTGAACACACCCACTTTCATGAAAATCCGATTATTTTCAAAATTTAGATCCGCCATATTCAATCCGCTATTTTGGATTTTGAAATTTTGATATTAAATTTGGATTCAGTGATCCCAAAAACATATAAATATCGATTTTCATGAAAATCCAATTATTTTCAAAATTTTGACCTGCCATATTGGATTCGTTATTTTGATTTTCGAAATTTTGATATCAAATTCGGATTCAGCGACCCAAAAACCTTTATAATAATGTCATAAAGAGAATTCGACAACATTTTTTTCCAACACAAAATGGCACTAGTTCATTTCTGCCTCCACAGTCAAAGGGTTAACAAGATTTTTTGTAGACTAACCAAACATTGTTATTTAACCAGACATTTTTGGTTAAATAACAAGACACATTTGATTAGCCTACCAAAAATCTTAACTTAAGAAGAATTCGAGTTACTTCAATCGAAATTTCTGAATCGTTCATATTCGTCCAGATATTTGGATAATTCAACCAAATATTTTTTTTCCGTGCAGGAATATATTCACTCTAGTCGACTGAAACATGGAACGAACATTTCACGAACATGGAATCAGAATCCACTGTGTATGAAACATTCATTCTTATGATTTTGAGTGGCAGCACTTCGCTGGAAAAGATAAAATTTTGCCACCTTCCACTCGTTCTAAGTGAAATTCCATTGCTAAAAATTTGGAGAATATTACAGTATAACCAATTCGTGACAGTCGTGGAAGAAGTCGAAAATAATCTCGACATTTCCTTCGTGACAGAATCGCGATGTCGAGAAAGCTCACCGTTACAGGACGCAATTGGAGAAAACGTGGACAATTCAGGTACAATTCGCCGGCATAAGAATTAATATTCAATTTTATCCGCGACACAGTGACAATCGAGGTAGACGGGATTCGGGAAGAATTCGTGCCGTCGCATTTATTGATACGCCGTGAAAATCTGACGGCTGAATGGAACGACAAATTGGATTCGAGACGAAAGACTGACTCGGCGATTTATTTCCATACACTTGGACGCGTCTCATCAGAGCTCGCTTGGTCGTCACGAGGCGTTCGCCGTTACATCCGATCGTTACGCTTCCTCGAGCCGCATCTAGCAGCTTCGTCCTCAGGTTTAAAATTGGCCCTCACAACCCTGTGGGTTTTAAATTATAGATCAACGGCGCAGAGAGAGAGAGAGAGACGCGACGGGTGGCATACATTTGCGAAATCCGATCTGATCGATTCGCCGTGAAAAAAAGCGACGCGATCCGACAGTTTCGCGGTCTAGCTCGCGTTACACAACGCAACGCGTTACGGACGATGATCAAGCGGTGCTTACTCTGTCGAAGTGGGTCGCGAAAATTTCTAGGTCACACAGTGTGGCTGCAGCGGAAGGAAGACGGCGCGAGGTGATCGTTCCATCTCGCGAAAATCTCGCGAATCTTGCTCGACCCCGTCGCAAAAGCGACCTTCGCCGACGAGCGCGCGCATACCTCGTCCTGCAAAAGCTCCACGGAATTCCGCCATAAAAACAGAAAGCCCATATTGCAGACAGTTGTCGCAATACTTCCCGGGAATGTCATGCGAGATCGCGCGCTGATAACCGCGATCGATATTGCACCATCGTATCGGGGAGCATGGGTGCACGTGCGTTATTTCGCTCCGCGGCGGGAAATGACAAGTCAAATATCGATACTCGGCTTCATTTAAATATTTGACCTAGTCCATTCGTCGTTGGAAGCGCATTGAGCAACGCAAAGGATAGTTCGCGAATGTCATGCGAACTCCGCGATTGCATATTGAATATTATAAGAGCACATTAGTGTTTCATCGAGAGATAGACGCCAATGAGAGCCACGTTGCGGTAAATATTACCGTTCGGGACGTTACGAGACGTAAATAAGACATGTTTTCAATTTCACGGCGTCGTGACGGTGACGCTTTGTTCGGATTAAATATTGAAAAAGGAAATAGAACGACACCGGGGTCACGAGAATTTGTTCGGAGCGCGACAGCGCGTCAATTTGCGAATAACACGGAGCCCCGGCACGGAGACGCGCGACGCGATTTCGAGTAGATTTTTCGCGACGTTGTGTGCGAGCGCAGTCGGTAGAAAGTAGGTTAATTCTAGAACGCGGTTATCCCGGAGGACGAGGTGGATATTTGGGCCATGACCAGGTCGCGATCAATATAGCGTCCCGACGGCGAAGCTTCGACGAAGCCTGGCATCGAACAGCCAGACGCCCCTTTCGCACACCGGAGTGGAAATCGATATTGTCGCAATCCTCCAGGTGGACGGCGTGCCGCGATCGAAATGTCGAATTTCACGTCGACGTGCCCCGCGCGCGCACCATCCCGATTTTACATCTTGTCATCTTATCTTGGCTACGTTCTAGAACGGCCATGTTGCTCCACTTTCGCAGCATCGTGGAACACCGATGTCTTCTTCATTCATGGGCTTGTACAGTGTCCCACTTCCACCGTATTGACTCGGCGGATATATATATATATATATATATATGTATATATATATATATATATATATATATATATATATATATATATGTGTGTGTGTGTGTGTGTGTGTGAATTTTTTTTTATTGTGTGCATTCGCGATTTTCCCTCGAAGGGAGAAGACGGCCGAAGCGGCTTGTCGTTTATCCAGCGTCTAGCTAATTTCCAATATCGCGTATCTCCGTGAACGCGAACGGTATCATCTCCCACGTGTGTTAACAACGTGTGTCGTCTGAGAAAAGTCCGCTTGGAATTCTCGTCCGAAGGCTTCCCTCATAGATATCGGCCGGACTGGGATGTATCAAAGTCGAGATATTTTCGGCGAGTTTAGATGTCAACGTTATTAGACACACGCGAGCGAGTTTATTCCCACGTTTATTCGTGACAACGGAACCGCGACAACTGAGACGCGAGTCGCACACGTGCATTTTTCTCTGCGCGCGCCTTGCGTCTCGAACATTGAACTCGCCGAAATTATAACGGTTTCGATTCTCGGCTCGCGTTGCGTCGTGTTACCTGCCTTGCGTTGCCGTGTCTTGCCTTGCGAGAAGACGCGTAGAACACGTTCTCTCTCTCCCCCCTTCCCCTCATCTCTCCCTCTCTCTCTCTCTCTCTCTATCTCTTTCTAGCGTAAACTACGCGTAGGCGTATATCCCAGCGAGCCGCGTACGTTGAGAATGTACATTGACGAGTTTGCTTTACTCTGTTACAGGCACACATGAAGTTCCCGCCGGATTATCCGTATAGTCCACCAAGCATTCGTTTCATGACAAAAGTTTGGCACCCGAATGTATATGAGGTGAGTGAATACGAGAATTATCGATCCCCCGCATGTGCTCTCTCTCTCTCTCTCTCTCTCTCTCTTTCTCTGCCCTCTCCTCCCTCTTTCTCTCCTCTCCTCTCCTCTCCCCTGTTCGCTTTCCCCGCGTTTCGACCCTTTACCGTGTGTGTATATGTGCGTGTCCTACCCCCCTCCCCCCTGTCTCCCTCTTGCGTCCCTTTCTGTTCATCTGTTCCGCGCGCTCTCTCACCCCGTTCTCTTTACCACCCTCCCTACACCGTATAACGACTGTCCCGCTCTGTTCGTCCGCCTCTCTTTATCTTCCACCCTCCGCCATAGCTTTTACAACCATCAGCTTTTACGTCGTCACTTTCAGCGCTTGTGAAACCCGGGATCGCTTCCCCCAAAAACCCTCGCCGCTCTTCTATCGCGAAACGCAGCGGCGCGGGTGGGAAAAAGTTAGGGGTAGGGGGTGGGCGACAGCGGACATGAGGGCGCGGGGACAGAAAGAGAGAGAGAGAGAGAGAGAGAGAAAGAGAGAGAGAAGGGATGGAAATAATAAAAAGAGGAAAGTAGAAAACACAGCCGGCTCAAAAAATTACGCGCGCTGACGCTTAACTCGTTGGCTGAAACGTTCGCTAAACGTTATGCTAGATTCACACTGAACGCGATTAGCGACGAGCGATGAGCGATATCCAATGAGAGAGCTTTTATTTCTTTTTAAAGCAATACTCTCATTGGACATCGCTCATCGCTAATCGCGTCCAGTGTGAATCTAGCATTAAACTGCTGGTAGTCGCGACGCTTTTGCATTCATATTGACGTATCGCCGTCAGCATTCTTGGTCTACGTCCGGCCGGACTATACTATATTTATCGTGGCACCTCGCGTCGCCGCGCGTTCGACGTTCGCGAAAGCGACTCCGCGATTCCGCCATTCTTTTCGCCACATCGTCCACCATCGTCCACCATCGGTGGACGTGCGAGTTCACGGCGGCAAGCAAATGATGGACAGGTAGCTCGTAATCGACGAGAGAGAGAAAGAGAGAGAGAGAGACACGCACCGACAGATGGATTGCGAGTTAGCGCGTCGCTGGTAATCCGCGATGGTTTCCGCCGAAGAAACTTCGATCATCATCGATTAGCGTTATATGCTAATCTCTCGCAGAAGGATACGGTTAATCATCATGTTGCCCGGGCGCGCTTTAAAAGACCCTGGCTGCGCGACCGCGCGACCGTTTCCTGTGTCTACCGCGCCACGTAGAAATACGATACGGTATTTAAACGTTCGGTCGCTGTGGTCGTTTGTACATACAAACTAGTATCGTCCGTGTCGTCCAGCTATTTTCTTCTCTTTCTCTCTGTCTTTTTTCCTCTCTCTCTCCCCGGTACTTGTACAAACGAAACATTAATTCCGAAATGATCGACACGCATCATTGCACATGGATGCATCGGGGAATTAACGCTACTCCAGTTGCAAAGGGCTGTACGCGTAAACGTGAATGAGTACTCAGCGAATATAGGCGAACAGTCGAAAATAGGCGAATAGTCGAAAACCAGGTAATCCTGCCGATAAAATGCACACTCGAGCGACAGGATTAAAATCTGGCGCGAAGTGATCGTCGTCGATTAGGCAGGTATACCGTTCTTCTTTGTCTCTCTCTTTCTCTGTTTTTTATCTCTCCTTACGACTGCGTCGTATAGTGGCACTTGCGTTTGCACAAAGTATCGCATTCCCACACGCTTATCGACCTCGACCGCGCGCATCTCCTCCTCGCTCGTTCGCTCGTTCACTCGCTCGCTCGCTCGCTCGCTCGCTCGTCGTATATGACCCTTCGGCGGCTAGCGAAGCGAAGTCAATGACCGTCGAAAGCTCGTGGACATCCATGTCCACTCGCCCGTCGATAGGGATGGCAGCGACGGGAGAGCGTGTTATGAGTAACGAGGCAAACGCTCTTTCTTTTTTTTTTCGTTCTCTCTCTCTCTTTTTATTTTCATAGTCTGGGCCGTCGAAGAGAGAAGACATTATAGAGCCTGTAGTTACAGTTAGTCCCGCGCGCGCGTAACCAGTTATAGATGAGAGAAGTTATTTACGGTGCGTTTCTCCCTCTCCTCTCTATGGAACTGCGCTAGTTAAAATAAAGATTGCGACACTGTAAAAATATTTTTGTTTTGCTTTCATATATGCGCGATGCCCCGCGAAGGGCGGCGCGCAATGGGAACCGCGCTTTTCGAGCGTGAAACGCGCGCAAAACGCGGAAGTTGGTATTTTTCATCACCATACCGGCAGTTTGAAGCTTCCGCGAGCGCCGAACTTGAGCCGAAACTCGCTTTCCCCTTTGGCGTTTTGGGCGTGGGAAGGGACAGGGGCTTGCGATTTCCATTTTCATTAACGTTTAATATAAATACGTTGTGGCGATATGGCGGGTCGTTAATGGAAACGCGAGCGAGCGAACGCCACTGCATAACCATCTGTGGACGATCGCCGGGATCGCGTGTACATGTGAGCGTGTGGGTGTGTGTATGTGTCACGAGTAAATTGGTAAATAACATTCGCCCGAGAGAGTCAATTTGCGAATTCCGCGTGATTCTCAAAATTATCCGGCCCGGCGAGAATCGAATTAGTTGGCGTCGTATTGTACACTAGTATCGCGTCCTTCCTATCTCGCCCGGCTCGTGTGTTCGAAACGATTGACCTTCTTGTCGAACGATTGATAAGCCGAGCGGCTTGCTTAATTTCTTACGTAAGTAAGCGCAATTATTATGTATCGCGGGCGCCTAGTTCCTATTTCCGTCGTATACTCGGCTTATACCGCGGCGATTTAATTACTTGCACGACTATCACGGGACGAGATATCGCGTAGTCTTCGCGTCGCGTCCACTTCTTTGTGTGCCCGGAGTGAATTCACAGCGGGGGTCATGTTTAGTCGGACGAAAACGCGGCGGCGATCTTGGCGCTATCTCGCCGAATGGCGAGAATGTTAGATAATAACTTTTAATTGCAAGAGAAAGTACGAGGCACGGGCGAGACTGGCTGACTTATCTCGCTCTTTCCGCGCGCGCGATAGAAATTTTGATGACGATACGCGAATTGCGCAAATTCTCCCAGGAACACCGGCCGTATATGTAGAGACCAATCGAAGCAAACGAAAGGTTACCCGATATATACATATAACGGCTGACACGTGCGGCACGCTTCGTTCTTCTCGCGGGGCAACTTTCCCCGCCGCGAAATTCATATTATTTCGTACACGTTCGTGCACCACGCATCACACGCGAGTGGAGTCTTCCTCAGTGTGCCAGGCGCGAAACACACAACCGGTGACGTTACAATGGGCGGACGTCTACGAGCTATCACTTCGGCGAGAGAGAATATCGTCACAATGGAGAAGTACGAAAGAAATGGTAACCGTCGCATTGTTCGAGCCAATCGCATCAAACGTGTGTACAGGCCGCGCAGGTTAATTCCGTATTAACCTACCGAATCGCGTGCGAACACGTTATTTAACCGATCTCCAAACGATTTTCCGTCCTGTCGAGGAAACGTCTTTTGAAAAGAGACGACGTCTCTTCTAGAGAATTTTCGAGAATTCGAAAATGAGTTCCACGCTCTCTGAATACGCGGTTCTCATCGGGGAATCGGCGGGGGTGGGCATCCTCAACTCCGGCGATGTTGTTGCGCCTACCTATACCTACCTACCTAAGTACCTACCTATCTACCTACTTACCTACCTACTTACCTACTTATCTGCACTGAGAAAAAAGCAATTAGGTCGACAAAATCGGTGGTCACCGGTCATCAAGAAGAAGATATTGTATCTATTCAACACATATAGCAACAATAAGTTGCGTTGATATAGTAGCAATCTGCATTGTAAATAATCTGCATTGATATAGTAATATCAACGCAACTCACTGTTATACCAACGCATATATTGTTGAATATTTCTTTGATGAGAGGCCGGTGACCGTCGATTGATCCAATCGCTTTTTTTCTTAGTGTATCTACCTACCTACCTACTTATCTACCTATCTTCGCGCGCGATTCTATGCGTCGGCACACAAATGCATGCGCGAACAGCGATGCTATCGGCCGGCGCGAGCGGTCGTGTCAAGTGCCGGGCGTTTACTTGAGGAGAGTAGCTCGCCTTCGTGGCTTATTACGAGGTGTTCGAAGCTGAGCCGCGGTGAAACCACGACGATGCGCCTTGTCCTACTTGCCGAACCGAGCAGGAGGAGGAGGAGGAAGAGGAGGAGGAGGCTCGCGAGGAAACGTGCGCAACGGGCGCGATGATCCGCGCGAGCTTTATGAACTTTGTACGTGCATACACGTGTAAACTGCGACTCGGAATAAGTGTGTTTCTTTTATACACGTTTTCGGGAACACGAATTATTCGCACGACTCGGACGGAATATCGCCGCGAGAGTACGAAATAATTACCGTTTATGAAGCGCTGAGTCTATTTTGGTTTCGGGCTGATTTTATGTTGGGGCTTTTAGACCGAATTATCAGTTGTACTTGCGGCACAGATTTTTGCCGCACCTTTGAGAAATTGAAGAAATATGAGTGGGCAAATATTCTCTCAAATGATACATATGAAAGAATGGGTTGTTTAGTAAGTTCTTATGTATGTTTCTTGCATACCCGTTTGGGAACGGGAAGATCTCGTGAATTATTTGCACGACACAGACGGAGCACTTCATTCCGAGAACATGAAATAATTATCGTTCATGAAGAGCATGAAGAGATTATTTTAGTTTCAAACAATTCTATCCTTTAAGGGCTTTAGGATGAATGATCGGTTGTACTTATGATGCAGATTTTTGTCGCACCTTTGAGAAGTAAGAAAATATGTAGGCAAATATTCTCAAGTGATACAAATGAAAGAATGGGTTAGATTTGATATATGTATACAAGGTGTCCCAGACTCTCCTTCTCATATTAAGTGGAAATGTAGAACGGGTTGAGGTGAACATAAAAGTCCTGCATTAATTAAAGATATTAACTAAAGAAAATTTGTGCATTATGGTACACAATGATATATGTAACCATTTTCTTTAATATCTAAAAATCTATGTGGTCATTTGCAAAATGGCAAGGGACTTTTTTATTCAGTTTGACTTAATGTATAAGTATACAACGGTAGACGGCGCCACTGCAGCTCATCTACTATATCGCGCGTGATCATTCACCAATCTTTTTTAATTAATATCTCGACTATTATTGCGAATATCGTAAAACAGTATAGGACTTTTATGTTCACCTCAACTTGTTCTACATTCCCACTTAATGTGAGAAGGAGAGTCTGGGACACCCTGTATTTCTTTCACACACACATACACACACACACACACACACACACACACACACACACACACACACACGTGTTTGGAAACAGCGAGCTCTCGCGAATTACTTGCACGACTCGGACGGAACATTATCGCGAGAGTATGAAGCAATTACCGATCATGAAGAGCTGAGTTTATTTCAGTTTCAAACGATTCTCTGTTGTGAGGCTTTATGTTGAATTATCAGTTGTATTTATTGCGCAAATTTTCGTTGCGCTTTGGAAAAGTAGAAGAAATATAGGATGGATGAATATATCTTCGAGTGATAACATGCGAGAGAATGTATTAAGTTGCCCGATAAGTTCGTAAGGGGATTTTTGCGTGGGGTTCAAAGTCTGTACTTTTAAAGCGTAATTTGTGCGTAATTTTATTCGATAATGTATTGACCATTTTTCCTTTCCATGGCAGGAGGCTGTCGAAAAAAAAATTAAGTAGTGCCTGACAATGAGGCTTGGTATTGGCTTTTCGCAAGAATCCCTACCAACTCATCGAACAACAACTCGGTATTGTTCGCAATAATGACGTATTATGGTCTGTCTCGGCGATATCTCGCTCGGAATTGAGTGGCCAGAGTTTCGCCAGGGTCTCTCTTCCATATCTCTCGTATTTCGATCATATCTCGTTGTATCGCTGTATCATCCGTGCTTCCTGTGTACACAGCGTCCTCCCCGAATACGGCGTAGAATCGCGACGACCTCGGCGACGTTTCTTTAGATACGCCCGAAAAGGCGCCCCGAGGTCCCGTCCTTCGTGCGACGATGTTTTCTCAGGGACAACGAACGCGGAACCAGGAGTGCCGAGGCCGCCATGCCTCGCGTCGGCGAAAGGAAAACGTGAACTCTGCACGCGTGCACAAGCATGTGCGAGCAGCGACGGATTTAAACTTGTGACCCTAAGCTCTAACAACAGTCTCGTCCCTTTCCCCCTCGTATGCACAGGCGTGTGTAAAATAATAATGACAAGCTCGAGCAATAAAATTAATCTATTCAGAGAACGCTCACATAGAAATTCAGAAAATAGATCTCAGAATCCAAAAAGAGAAAATGGATTCAGAAAACTCGGAAAATGGATTGTGTGTAATATTTTTATTTATTTTTTTTTAATACAGAGTAATTATGAATCCTTGTAGAATCAGAATAGTTATGAGCTCTTATATATGATATTGCTGTCCGAATATGAAAGGCTCAGCTTGTTGATCTGCGATCTTACACGCGCGACTGCACGAGAACGCACAATGCGCTAAGTAAACTTCTAAAAATAATACGCGCACGAATTTCGATCCGTCGCGCGAACAAAACAAAGCGGCTAATATAATATTAGCCGAGCTCGCTTTCGACGAAGAAGAAGGCGCTCTCGACGGACGAGCTTAGAAGATTCTCGCGAATCTGAAACACTGTCTTTCCTTGTCTGTGCAGAACGGCGACCTGTGTATATCAATTCTGCATCCACCCGTAGACGACCCACAGAGTGGCGAGCTGCCCTGCGAGAGGTGGAATCCAACGCAAAATGTCAGGTGAGTTGCGCGATTCTCGCGGTTTGTCCGGGATTCACTTCCCGGAGTCGAATTCGAAACGATTAATCGCTTTTGTCTTTCTTATCAGGACCATCCTCTTATCGGTAATCTCGTTGCTGAACGAGCCCAACACATACAGCCCTGCCAATGTCGACGCCTCGGTGATGTATAGACGCTGGCGCGACTCCAAAGGAAGAGACAAAGAATATGAAAATATCATAAGGTAAGAGAATCACGTCGATAACGTCGGTGTTGCCGCGTGATTTGGAGTCTTCGCCGAAAACCACGTCGGATCTATCGTGACGTACGTGTTAACTGCGTCGAATGCGCGCGACAAATGACCGCGGAAACGAAGATACCGGTGGATACAGATATTAAACGGTATTAGACAGTCCCGACTATGAACGGGAGAGTTGTTCTCCAAACGGCCCAATGACACCGCGACTCGCAACAACTTGGATCACCGATCGATACCTCGCGTTAAAGTCCAGTAGCTTTCCTCTGGAATTTCTGGCTCCGTCAGGATCGACGATCACACACGATTACACTGTCGCACAGCTTACAGCTGATACAAAGTCTCGCTACGGTGATGGCGTGTCCGTAACGTCTCTGTTCCGAATACTCGATGATCTTTCCTCGCTCGACGAGCGGCCCGTCCAGCGACTTCGCGACGACAGTGAGGTAGGTAGGTTTTGTCAATGTATGTCTTGTACTTGTCTTCTATTTAGGAAACAAGCCCAAGCTGCCAAGATGGAAGCCGAAAAGGAGGGTATCGTCGTGCCCGTGACATTGGAAGATTACTGCATAAAGACTCGGGCTAGGCCGGCCGAACAGCAGCTAGACATGACGGACTTCTACGACGACGAATATGAGTTGGACGACGACGAGGATGAGCAACTCAGCGCAACCGATTACGAGGATGGCGACGACAGTGGCAACGGAGAATCGTGATCCATTTCTTAGATGATAATACATAAAAAGAAACTCGATACGCTAAATATTATCAGTTCTGTATAGATTAATAAATTAATGAGCTTCTAAACCGGACGCTCTCTCTCTCTCTCTCTCTCTTCTTTTTTCTTCTTCTTTTTTCTTTCTGTCTCTTTGGACGCGCTACCGAAATTTAAGTGAGTGTTTCCTTGCTCAAAGAGCCGATGCGTTATGGAAAATTTCAGTAGAGTATCGCGTACGTCTCTAGAAGTATCATCGTCAATTATCACACGCGCTTCTGCCCGAACAAATCATCTGCGGTCTGTTATAGTCAATTTTTCAATTGAAAAGTAAAGATGGAAGGAAGCATCCTTTCTCACTCGCCATCCATAAGTCCACGTATCACGTGCTTTCGCGATCTTCAAGATTTCATTGCGCAAAGTGATGATAACTATTGCCCGCTCGACGATAGTTTGTGTAAAAGACACCAGTTTTTTAATAGAGAAATTCGAGCACTGTCGTCCAACGACGGGCACTTGGAGCATTAACGACCATCGTTATATGAAATCATTGAGAATTCCGTGTTTACAAGCTCTTTAACTTAAGCAATATACTACGGTATGCGTATAAAAGTACTTCGATAGGAGCACTGTGCTTGTTGTGTTGTGGCTGGCACCTCGATCTTTCAAACCAGGACCAATTGATTTACCTAGCAGGGACTAACGTTCGATAAAGACGATCGTAATGTAAGTAAACACGATGATTGACTCTGTATTGGGCATCTAGTTTCACGCCATGTTCAAAGTTGTGTGTGGGTACGTCAATTGATCCTAAACGTAATATACCTACTACTATGAAATTTGCATTGAATAATAAATTTGCGTTTTGTTTCACAATTATTTATGTTGTAACACCGAGCGCATTCAGCGAAGAATTCAATATAGAAATAAGAGAAAAAAGAAACGAGCTGCCGAAGAAGACCCGTCTGAAAAGGAAAAAAAAAAAAAAAATATATATATATATATAACGAATTGTACTATTATAATACCCAGCGATATGATTCATCGATATCAGTCATGATTACTTATCTATGTACGTGCGAAATATTATATGTCGTATCGGCATCTTTCTTTGCCGTATTGTTTTATGTCCGAGACAGAGCGAGAGAGTCATGAATAATCAATGTTAATTATTACTTCGCAGGTCTTCAACGGCAGACGTAATCATAATAATTTTTAGAGTTAGACACATGTAACTTTTGCTACCAATACCTTAATTTTGATTGTTAACAACACTAAATGTTTTCTAGGAGAAACAACGGTCGTGTGAAAACTCGTACGCGCATAATGTTACAGCCACAAAGTTAGTTTGGCTTATAATTTTCGTTAAGATCTCTTCGTAATAAGTATTATCTGTCACGAGGGAATAAAGGCTTTCCAAAGATGGTATTGGTTGAGCGTAAAAAAGAAGAAAAAGTAATTACTTAAACGAAAGTTATATCCGGATACAGCTAATCGACTCTGTGGTAGTGTATCTGTGCTCGCGTATGACTGAAATTGTAAATAGTAAACGAAACTCAATTTTAAAGACACGGAATATATAAGTACTTCTACTTATTTCTTTATTAGCCATTTCATTAAGAGACCAAAATTGAGTGTTGAAAGTGTTAAACGGTAAAATAAAAGACGAGAGGACATTTAAATTCCACAATAGCGTCTAAAAGAAAAAAAAGAAAACGTATACTATGCGCTTGTAGTAATGTAGCTAAAGTAAATATTCCCTAGTTCCTTCAAATATATTGTAAAACCTCTTCTCATTTCATGTTTTTTCTTAGCTATTTAATAATAGAGGAGATGTGCAAGATACCGAGGTATAAACATTAATAATTTGTATACTGGATAATTCTTTCCTTCTTTTTTTGTACATACCAACACGTGAGCAAACTCTTGTTCGTACGATTATTAATAAAATTAGCATACTACTATCAATATGCTTTGTCGATAATTTAGTGACTATAGGTAATGTCAGGTAATATTAATCATTTACTATTAATTACGACCTTTTTCACGTGACGATAGGCTAATGCGAGGAAATATGTGTAAATACATTTTATTATGGCAAAATATTGGATTTGTGTACCTTTTCTTCTTACTATTATTATTATTAATGATACATTCTATGCGAAGAAAACTAAGGACTACGCGACGCGTAGAAAAATATGGTTTATTCTTCACACAACTTTGACATACACATCAATTGCACGAGATAATGAGATTATAAACGCAATGTTTCCATATCATCTTGCAGGATTCCACAACGAATTGTAAACCACTAATAATTACATATCGAGTATTACAATTGAAAACTGGAGGTAGTAAAGGTCCTTATCACGGTGGTATTAAGGGAGTATTTGTGTTTTTTTTTGTTCCGCACATACATGACAGAAGGCACGTATATACATCGAGAAATTGCGCAAAATTCAACTGTTTTGAAATAAAATATAAATTACTAGTTCCTTAAGTATGCTAAAACAAACAAAAATTTGTTTCTCTAGATTTGAAACATGGAAACAATAAGGCGCGCACTACATCAGTAAACACGTATGTCGTTTAGTCGAACCCTGTGTATCTGATATGTTGTTTTTAGATGACAAATGTTAATAAATAGGTAACGAATAATAAAATAATAAATACTTTGCGGTAATAACGAAAACAAAAAAGGAAAAAGAAACGAATTAGGAAAAAGCATGATATGTTGATGACATATATCTTATCAGCTTTACCTTACGGCTAACGCGTAACATCTACTAATTATTTAGTAGTTTAGTTCGAGCAGTATTAAACGGAGATTATTGTCATGTGTGATTAAGGACGGCTGTTTACTGATTACGTTGCTTAGTCCAGCATTGGGAGCAGTAATATTGATTTTCCGACGATCCAAAATATGAGCAGTGTTCACTGCGACACAACTTCACGGTGTCCTGTAAACGTCGCCCATCTTACAAAGATCTTAAATCGAAAGAGCTTATTTTCCGCGATGTTGATCGAAATTTATTTGACGTACCTTCGAATTGTCACTATTATTCTGAATTTCTGGCCCCGTATCGGTTGTCGCTTGATCCTTATAAAATGTAGATCTGCGGAGCGAATATATCAATTTATCGAATTGAAAATAATAGTTCCTTAATGATCAAGCATTTTACATCAACATACTTTGCAAGATAAAGCGTTTGGTCTTTGTTTGGATTTGTAGGCAATAATTTGCTGACGTTCGCGTGACTACCGTGATCACTGGCAGCGTAAAACTTGGACTTCCCAGCGCCGTAGTTCAGTTCGCTGCCTGTATCGTCCACCTGGTGATCCTGCAGATACCTACGTGCAGCAAACCCGTATAATTCGTTACTGCGTGGACTTTCGTACATATCTCTCATGCACAACCGAGATACATACTTTGAATGAGCGTACTGAAGATAATTCTGAAGCATCTGGTCTACATACTGATGACGTCTGCTCTTTATTCTCACACACAACAGACCCTCCGTAGAAACACCGCCACCCGCAACGGGCGGACTTTTTGGTCTCTTTGTCATGTTAGGCCACAGTTTCTTGCTGACGGATCTGCCAATTGACCCGACTTGTTGCAACAGTTGTTTCGCCGTTTTTGACAGGAAACCATTCGTATCGCCAAATCGATCTATATCTTCAGTTATGAAGCTTTGATATTCGCAATCCAAATACTCTCGTAACAAAATTTCCATCTGCACGCAATAAACGATAGAAACGACTTCATTATATTTGCTAATAATTTAACACCACCAACAAGATCAACGAGAGAACCTTCCACTACACAGTGCGAATGGAAAATTCTCACGAGTCTGTTGGCAGTTTAAGAGATATAAGTGACGCAATATACGTACAGTATCTTGTTGACAAGACAACAACTCTCGTAAACCGTCTACCCAATCCCAATCAGGACCAGGATCCACGGCGAACAAAACCGGCAATAGCTTGCCTGTGTCTGGGTCCACTAAAGGTATACTAACTCCTTCGCCGCAGGCGCTGCCGTAATCGTTGCAGCCATCTACTGTCACAAGTGGTGAAAAGTGAGCAGAATGATACGCCAGGAGCAGAGGTGTTCGATGACAACGCGAGGGCGACACTTCCAATGGCAAATACACTCCACCGAACGGAATCGGCGCCAGGGCTATTCCCTCGGCATCCTTCAGCATAGTTTCTGCTATAACTATTATAGGCCTCCTTAAGGCGTGAGCCAAGGTTAAGACGTGTATCTGAAACGAAAATCATGCGTCAAGTTTTCAGAATAAAATTGTCTATTTACATGATGAAAGGTAAGGATATACCTCTTCAAGGCTCTGATAAGAGGTAACAGTTTGGTTTCTAACTGTCGGTGAGGCCATGTCTACTATACTTTGCCACTCTGACAACCACTCTGACTCAGTGTACGATAATCCTGCCACCGCGTTCAAGCCCGTTTGTCTCCATTTCCATCGCCTAATGATAATAGCATTGTATTCTCGTAATTATTTCTCTCAGCGATTACGATATTAATACCTTGAATTTTACCTGAAGAGAGCATGCCTATATTCTCCTTTCGTTAAAGTATTATGCAGTGCCTCCCTTAACGTGAGTAATCTATCGTGAAAGCCCCACATGCCCAACGATGCAGCGTGAAGCAAGCAATTACCGTCCCCGGTCGTTGCCAGTGGCCAGAGGATTCTGTTGCTTCCATTCTTGTACCACCAGTTCAGACGACCCGCAGCCTCCAGGGAACTCAAACATCCATTCTCTATTAGATCCTTCTCCAAGAATTTCCTGAATGAATCTAAAGTATTAACAATCTGTGTTAGCAGATATTCAGAGTAAGATATACATTACATATGGAAGCATATAAGAATATAAGTATGTAAAAGAATAATACCTGGATACACAGACAAATCTGGCAACGAAAATGTATATTCAGGTGTATCCAGAACTCCTAAGGATGTGAGTTGTGAGCGAGCATAGGAGATGATCGCTGCATTCTCTGTAGCACGGGAGATACCCCTGGCCAACTTCTTCGTAGTACTCCCATTGGTTTCCAGCCCATTGCCAGGAGCACTGTCATTCTCCAGACCATCGTACATGGATAAGCCAACACTCATAACACAGCTGTATCCTATCAGGATAGTGAAAATATTTTATATTAGTCATCATAGTTCATCAATCATCAGTGTTTCATAAACTTTGAAATATCAACAGGCACAATCAACTGGTGCATTATCTCAGGTTCAATCCATCATGCATTAATTAATGCAAGTGTTGGTATTATGGTGAGTAGTGAAGTTAGCTTCATGAGTCATGAGACTAAATTAATTAGAGACTCGGATGATGTAATTAGTTCTGAAATTTTTTCGAAACACGTAATAGTAATAGATTTCGAGCGCAACGACGTAGGTCGTACGTCGATTTCCATTTAAGACGTGTAATTAGTATTCAATTAACGCGTTCAATTTAAATATCTCCATCCAATCGAATATTATAAATAAGTTAATGTCCAAGCCGAATCGTACGTACGACACTAATTTCTTAGACGTTAGCGAAATGACGAGTTTTTCTATAGTCATTCAGAGATCGCAGGTAAGACAAACACGCGTTTCGGTTGCAGCGACGAAATACATGCTGCCAAGGTCACGAAAGATTCGTAACCGCTCGCGATTACGCGCGGCGACGGCGGCGGCGGGGCGAATGTCAGTGGCGAGTAATCGCAAGCGCTGCTTTATAATGTGTATACACACACACGAAAGCATATTGTATATATATGTATATGTATATACCCGATTCTACAGAAATAGGACAAGGTTTCACACGATGGCCAGCGCTTTTGACGAAAAAGCGTCACGCATGAAGAGATCGATCGACGCACAGAGAGACAGAGAGAGAGAGAGAGAGAAAGAGAGAGAGAGAGACACACCTCCTTCTCCCGTGCGTGGAAAACGTGCGAAGCGACGCGACTTTCGCTCTCGTTTGATTGCGCTGTGCGTAAATGTGAGGAAGCTGCGTGTGCCAGACACGAGAGAGACAGAGGATGAGAGGAAGAGCGAGATGCGAAGGAACAATGCAGAATGTACATACGAACCTTGGACCGTTATCGAATTAGCTCGCAGACACGACGTAGTAATCTGGCTGCAGATCCGTTCTAGTCGTCGTCGTCGTTTCGATCGCACGTCTTCGGTATATCCTTCTCATATTTCGCTCAGCCAACCCGTTTGAGCCCGTCGACGACACGACAGACTGCGCGTGAATGTGTGCGGCGAAACAAACGTGGATCAATCAGAGACCCACGGACGACGATGTAAACACAACAACATAACCTAGAGAGAACTGTCGCAGCCTCGTAGTGGGAGGCTCCAACTGCACAGCTCGGGTAGTTGGTTGGCTAGTCGGACGAACGAACGGACGCACGGTGAAACTTTAAACGGGTCACATGTCCAGCGCGCGTGACGAGCGAGCGGGCGAGCCAACGCGCGCTGTATGCTATCACGTTTCGTACGAATTTCCGACGTTTCCAAGACGTAGAAAGTGAAGAAGGGAAGCAAAAAATATGTATGCAAGTGTACCACGAAACGTCAAAGTTGCGATAAGAAGTTTCGGACGAGAGCATTACACGCGACGATGTTATCGAGTTCTCGACGATGATAGATAAGAAACGATAACGCGATACGAATGATGACTCATAATGATGACTCAAAATCTGTAGATGAATTGTATATCATCAGAATTGACGATATTCAACTGATAAATCAGTTGCTTTTAGTCTTTTTTTGTTAAAACATCGATCGTCTTTCCGATATCTTCCAGTCAAGTGAAAAATAGAAATCGTTGGGCCATTTGCGAATAAAAAGGTTCGATTCATCGTTGAATCGTTCTATTTGGAAATAAAAGGACTCTAAGGTACATTAAAAGCTTCTCTTTGGAAAGGACTTGGAGCTCGATTCTTGACGGTATGCGAATGAGATACGCGTGTGAAAATGTATAGTTCACGTTACGTATATATAGATTTTCGCATGCGTATTCTCACTCGCACACCGTGAAGAATCGGACCCCTGGGCCTTTTCTTGAAATTCTTGAAATTCTTGAAATTTTTGCGTATACGTAATTTTCATTACGCAGCTATTTTATGGTATGATTAAACGTGCGCAGTAAAACTTGCGTATATGCAACTATTTTGCCCGATCTACAATAGATGGAGTAAGGAGTAGGAGTAGAAGTAAAGCCCATTCTACAATTGCGTAAGCGTAGTCGTGAACGTAAAGGGACGTCTACATTGGAAGTAAATAGTAAGAAGTAGAAAGTAAGAATAAGAAATTGACCAATCATAGTTGATTATTCTTCTCACATTCGGCTGTGGTTAGTCAATTTCTTACTCTTACTTCCTACTTCTTGCTATTTACTTCCAATGTAGACGTCCTTAAGAGTCAAAAATCCGAATGTTTTATTCAAGCGTCTTCTACAATGGCAGTAGGAGTAGTAGTAAGAAATAAGCAGTAAGCAAATTGACCAATTCCATTCTTACGTTTCAAAAATAATCGATTGTGATTGGTCTATTTATTTACTGCTTATTTCTTACTACTACTCCTACTGCCATTGTAGAAGACGCTTCACTGATTGCTTTACTCTGATTGGTTGTCGTAATCGCTTACAACCACTTACAACTACGTTCACGCAATTGTAGAATGGGCTTAAAAAATAAACAGTAAGTAAACAGACCAATCACAATCGATTATTTTTGAAACGTGAGAATGGAATTAGTCAATTTGCTTACTGCTTATTTTTTACTCCTACTCCTATTCCTTACTCCATTTATTGTAAAGCGTCTTCTACAATGGCAGTAGGAGTAGTAGTAAGAAATAAGCAGTAAGTAAATAGACCAATCACAATCGATTATTTTTGAAACGTGAGAATGGAATTAGTCAATTTGCTTACTGCTTATTTTTTACTCCTACTCCTATTCCTTACTCCATTTATTGTAAAGCGTCTTCTACAATGGCAGTAGGAGTAGTAGTAAGAAATAAGCAGTAAGTAAATAGACCAATCACAATCGATTATTTTTGAAACGTGAGAATGGAATTAGTCAATTTGCTTACTGCTTATTTTTTACTCCTACTCCTATTCCTTACTCCATTTATTGTAAAGCGTCTTCTACAATGGCAGTAGGAGTAGTAGTAAGAAATAAGCAGTAAGTAAATAGACCAATCACAATCGATTATTTTTGAAACGTGAGAATGGAATTGGTCAATTTGCTTACTGCTTATTTCTTACTACTTCTCCTACTGTCATTGTAGAAGACGCTTAATGGATTGGGCCTTTCAAGAATAAGGGCTCTGTTACTTATTTTTATTTCCAAAATGTCCGCTACGAGCCGCCACTATCTTTAACGAAGAATTCAGCGCGTAGTACAACTCAACGGCAGTCAGATGGGTCATTTTTTCAAGTAGTATACCTCAATAATAAGTTAGTATTGCCAATTTTTCGATACCTTGGCTCTTATTCTTGAAATAATTACGTATATGTAAGTTTTACTGCGCAAGTTTAATCATGCCGTAAAATAGCTGCGCAATGAAAATCATGTATACGCAAAAATTTCAAGAATATAGGCACACAGCATTCTCACATTTGCTTACTGAGCAGTTTCTACAACGATTTTACCATATTTAATAAATTACATATATAAATTGAATAAAGAAAGTATAAAACCTTCTGATGAATGGAAAAAATTATATTGCAGGATATTGCTCTTGACAGTATGTAGATGGTGAAAAAATATTAGGTGCAAATCCAAATTTCTCATTGTTTTAAACTGGCAGTTTCACTTCTTGTTACAGCAGAGATATATAATATGATATTGAACTTATTAACATCGAGAGAAAGTAAAAATCAAGTTTACATTTTAATTAGATATTACAAGATTTATTAGTATTACAGCTAAAGTGGACGAGGTACAGAGATACATTTACTCTGCTCTCCAGTATTAAGAATCAATTTTTCTACAATACAAATAGTATAATATTTTGAGAACACAATCGATATTTTACAATAGGAGTCTTTTCAATTACTCTTTCCCGTGTATGAGCCATGAAAAATCAGTTTTAATTTATGCTTAAATTGTTGCGTGTTTTATCTAACTCGAATAGAAATCAAACGCGACACATAACTCATTGCCTATTATCAACATCTAAATCTTCTTTTTATTAGTGTGGCAATCGGTTAGATCGTTTATCAGTAGCAAATGCAACTGTCTCAATTATATTTAGCGAGATTTCAATACATCCTTTACTAAAGACGTGAGACTAATGTTACATTAAAGAAAGGAATTATGTTGAGTGCTATTTGGATTACTACTAATTGGCATAGAATTGTAGCCTCTTTGCGCTGGCGGTTGATAAATAGGTTGTGTACTCCGTTGCTGATTTCGTTTCTTATTGTATCCTTTGTTACTAGTGGTGCCACTTCCACCTCGTCGAAATTCCATACCTGCTGTCAGTCACAATTTAAGATTAAAATAATATTCCAGAAATATCATAGGATTTTCTTGGAATGATAAAATTTCAAGAGTGAATTTTTGTTATTTACCATTTATATGATTATGGCTCTGATCGTAACGTGGCTGCCGATTGTTTAAACGTTGATCGTGTCGTCTTGTATCCGTAATAGGATCTTGAGCCTGAAATTGTAGCAATTAAAAATATTATTGTATCAATTTAATGCTTAATATAATACATTTTACTGTGTAACTATACATACATCTTCAGTAATTGGTATACAATCCACTTGCAACACCTCCTCATAGTTTTCAAATTCTTTGAACTGTACTACGCAAGTCCTCTCGGAAACGCCAGTAACTTCGGCATTGTAATACTAAAGTTTGTGCAGAAAATTTAAATCATCAATTTCTCACGCATAATAATTACGATCGCGTGCGTAATGAGAGAAAAATGATACATACCCTATTATCTTCCCAATATTTAGCCATGCACTTGTCACCTACTCGCCACACCCATGTATTACTTGCGGGAACGGCGTTTTGATTGCTATAATTGTTTTCATTTCTTTGCGTATGGAGATTCATAGGCATCCTATTGTCGGTGTTATGATTTGCCTGATATTTAGGTTGAGTCTTAAAATTCTTTTCAGTTGCATTAGAAGAATATACTTTAGAAGCTCCGTCTTGTTGCGCTCGATTATGCCTACCATAAGAAGCATCATAAGACTGCTTATTTCTGGCGTCAGGCTCGACGTGATTATAGTTTCTGTTACTACCGAGATGAGTTTTCCCCAGTATGTCGGTTTGGTTCTTGTTATAATTCTCGTTACCACTATCACTGACATTTGTGTTACTTGTGCGCGACTGAGCGAACGAGTTTCTATAATCGCTTGTCTGAGAAGACCTCTGATACGCTTCTCTACCTCCATTATGTTGATACTGATGCTGAGATTCTTGGTTGCGTTGAAATCTCGGTGGTTTGTTTTGCTGTGTGTTACCACCACTATTATATTGCGGATATGAAGGCGTGGTAGAATTGCTATTAGTCGTCCGTTTATTATTTCTATGTTCCTCCGCGTGTCTCGGGGGTGGTTGATATCCCCGACCTCCTTTTTGGCCCCTGTTAAGTAAAAATTGATATTAGAAAAATCGGTGCTTTGTGCAATATTATTAATTTATCTTATGAAGCAGTTACATACCGCACACCTCTTCCAGATTGCGCGTCAGCGTTTCGCGATTCTAGGCGATCTTGATTACTTTCGCTATTCTGCGTATAGTTGTTGTGAAATGAACTGGTTGTATCGACGCTTTCGGGCTGCACAGGTAATTTATCTTCTAGAAAATCGAAAAGAGATATTTTCCCACTACTGGGTTTACTCTCCTCAGTTTTCTTCTCAAACCGTTTGCCACGTGGCTCTCGGGATTCCTTGGCACTATGTAACAGATGAAATTAGAATTTGATTGTGATCAAATAAGGAAAAGATAAAAGGAATCTAAAATAGATACCTACTTATGTTTACTGTCGGTTTTCTGCAGACTTTTGAGAGCTTTGTCTACGTTATTTCTATTCACCTTCAAAGCATATTCTGCTTGTTCTATAGTAAATCCGCGATCTATAATTTTCTGTACACTATGATCTAAGAGCTGTAAGCAATAGATTAATTCTTTAGATATTATATTAACACGAATTATTTTTATTTGAGGAGACACAGAATAAGGAAAGACACAAACCTGCTTATTTCCACCTCCGAATACTTTCTTGCTGCCTTGTTTAGCGGCCTCCGCGATTGCGTCCTTACGCTGAGTTTCAAATTCTGTATTTTCTTTACTAGGTTTTTCTTTTTCTGCCAGAGCTTTAAAGTTCTTATCTTGCTCGGAGACTTTTATTATCTTTTTGCCAAATGGTATCCATGGTGGAGGCCCACCTTCTTCAGCAGATCTTGCTCGAGTATGTAAAGCTAATTTCTATAAGAAAAACATATACATGTTCACATTTGTTAAAAAGATTTAATTGTAATTCATCATATTATTATTTTTCTTATCACATATATATAAATTATTATTTAATTAGAATGTTTTGTTATGAAGTTTTAGCTAACAGTCTACTTTTTATTTGTCAGATTATCTTACCTTATTTAATTCCCATTTCTCTACTAGATTGACCACTTTTCCTCCAAGCACATGAACTATATGTGATGGTCTCAATAAGATTAGTCCATGTGACACAGGTAAAATTCCTGACTTTATTAATATTTTTGTACCAGGTGGAGTATTTAAACTAAAATAGGAGTTGAAAAATATAATAAAATAAAATAATTATAAATAGATTTGATGAAAATAATAACTGTACTTTAATATTTATTTATTTACCTTAAAGACGATATATGTTCAACTTCTAATGCTTGAAAATTATTTTTGCCATCTGTCATTGATAATTTTAACATTCTTGGAGCTGCTCTCGACTCCTCGTTTCCTTTGGGTGAAGCAACATTGCGTATTTTCTGTATTTGTAATATAATATTACCTTGATTAAGATCTCCATTTCCACTGCCAACTTCTCTTAAGTCAATCTGTGAATAATTTTTTAGTATTTTTTCTTCAAATAAAAAATCCTGAGCAATTTATATTATTGGTGTATCTACATAGAACCATAAAATACATACATCTAACAATCGTTTAACTATCTTCTGTGTGTCGGTTATGTTTCCTGAATCGGTTGCCACGTTATAACCATGATCAGACAAGTACCTAATAATAAAACCGATCAAATGAATAGACATCATACATTACACTTCAAAAGTAATCACAAATTATAACTTGATCTTTAGGCAGAAATAAAAAAAATAAATGTAATCTTCAGCAAGGTATCTCACTCACCATCCCAATGTCTCCAATTTTTCCATGATTGTGTTGCCGAATTTTCTTTGTGATCCAGATGAATTTGCAACGTCTCATTGAATTGACGTCGAATCGCCGTATTTTTCGTAAGATGTTTTTCTATTCTTACAAGATATCTGCTCTCCACGGAACCGTACTTGTCGATAATACTACTTTCTCTAGTGCCTTTCTATCATATGTTCGGCGTACACAAAAAAATTCACAAGCAGTCGAGAGATCAACACACCATCGACGAGATTATACCAGCTCGTAAAGCCTTATTACTGGCCACTTTTCGATACGCACGATGTACGCACCAACGCGTACACAAACAGTTGTCAGCTGACTCGCAGAATCGCGAGGGTCGTGGCAAGGCTTCCCCAGGGCAATTCGGCCGAATATCTCGATCCTCTCGAGGCGTTTGTACACGCGTTGTATCACACGTCGAAGTAACGTCACGCTGATACGACAATTATAACCGCACCGACGGCTGAACCGCACCTATCTGACTTGAAAACGTTCGCCACCATCTTGCGCTCCTGGAACATCGTGCGTTTCGATTCGATAGATATCGCTGTGATCAGCGAGAGATGCTTATCGAATCGAAACATTCAACTTGAACTTTTTTGGAACACCCGTTGGTCCGAGTACAAGTTGCCATTTATTAACGAGCAAATTTCTTTGATTTTTTCATGTATTCTGAGATACAAAATATTCAAGAAAAAGAAGGAGGTTAGGTTTACGCGAAACAAGTAAAAACTGATCATTTCTCGGCTACATCGCGGACAGCCCTGCCGAAGTAACTCGGCTTGCATGGAATGCCGTAAATTACAAAATGCTCGTCGTAGCGCAAAATAAAGAGAAAATTTATCTTATGACGGCGACTTGGTAAAAACTCGTACACCTGAAGTGCCGAGTGCTTCAATTAGGATTCACGATTATGATTTGGGTGGAGCCGTCACTAAACAAACAGTAGAAATTACAGCAATCAAATGTGAACTAACTTCGGAGATGACGGAAGCGTGGGACACGATATATGTATTTAAAAATGGCCACGACCCGCCCACGTTGAAATATAGCTCGCGTTTTACAGCACCTTTAAAAGTTAATGTAACCTGTTTTTCTAAATTTTATAGTAATTACATATTCGATGAGCACCAGGCTAAAAATATGAAGGATAAATGTCACGCAGAGGAATTGTTGTAAAAACAAATGGACAAACATCGATGCAGCATCCCAGACAGTACAATTTATTGAAAGATGTCTTAAAGAAGTTTCTATTTCTCTTAGACGTCTTTAAGACATCTTTTAGTAATTTATGCTGTTTGGGATTCGGCCGAGTTAATTGCGAGTATGATGATAAACGATTATAGGTACTAAAAGCGCTCGCAGACTTTCGCGATGACAATAGATAGCCCTCTTATTTGGACAGTTGAAGTTAGCACACAGTCTGATAGGTGTGTCGAGCAGACAGTTTCGTTCGGGAATTTCCGTGCGTGGTTACCGGTCTATCTAATTTCTGGAACGAGAAGAGATTATTGAATCACCCAAGTAACGTGTATAATTACGGTGTATACGGTACAGTAGCATACGCACGGGTGCATGGAAAATATCTCGGTTCATGTAACGGAATAATGTGTTTATGTAACGGAAAATTAGTGGAAATTTTTCAAAATTTTTATATTTCCAGTAATTTCTAGTAACTTTCATATCCGGCTAACAACTTGGACCGAGAGATAATAGGTCTTTTTCGTAGCTGAATTAGCGTACACTTTTGAGACTTAAAAAGAAACAGGTATACAACTAATAGGTAATACAGGTATACAGGTAATATAGGTATTACTCTCTTAAAGTGAATAGTCACTGATATCAGTTATGAATATAGCACTGAGTACTTTCAGTGCTATACTTATAATTGCCATCAGTGTATATTCACTGTTTTCAGTGATGTTTGACTGATTTATTTTAAGGTTGCATTCCAAGACGTCCTTTTTGAGGAAATTTTACTCGATACTCTATAGTATATGTAACGTGAACTATAGGAATTAAGTAAAATTTTCCTCGACAAAAAAACGTTTTGGAATGCAACTTAGAAGAGTGGGATCTGTTTTCTATTACTGAACTGGCTGCACTAGTTCTCTCTCGTCTTTCATCCACCACGTTTCATCTGTATATCTATATCTTTTTAAGGCTCCTGGTCCCTCGCATTGTCTATCTCTTTTTAATAACGTCAGAAGCGAGAAAATGCATGCTAAAAATTCTTGCGAAATACGTTAAAATAAAAATATATATCCATAAAGTAACACTTGATATATATCCATAAAGTAACAATCAATTAAATAAATTTGTAAGATATTCCGTGCACTCCCCTCTTGCTCTAACAATCAATAATTTATTGTAAATTAATCTGAATAGAAATAGGCGAAGATATAGGTTAAGATGAATTGTATGTCACGTTAATTTACGGCAAATTATTGATTGTTAGAGCAAAAAGAGAGTGCACGGAATATCTTACAAATTTGTTTAATCAATTGCAAGTGTTACTTTATGGATATATATTTTTATTTTAACATATTTCGCAAGAATTTTTAGCATGCATTTTCTCACTTCTGACGTCATAAAAAGAGATAGACAATGCGGGGGGCTAGGAGTCTTAAGTTCTGAAAGTATACACTAGTTCAGACACTAGAATAGAAAACCGACCCTTAATGTCAAAACAGAAAGAGAACGAGCTAGTGCAGTCAGTTTAGTTACAAAGAACAGATCACAAGCATCGTGAAGCGCTAGGCTTTATAACTCGTCTGATCTTCGGAGTTTTGGTTACACGGTTTCCTTTCCGGGGAATAAAGACTCAAGGGTACGAGAAATCTGCCATAGAAACGTGATTCACTTTCTAAGGATAAGATCCCGCCGGCAATCGTAACAATCGTCATCTTATAGCGCTAAACTCAGTTTAGCTGGAGCCGCGCATGGCGCTCGTTAGATTCCGTGCAGTGAAAGTGAGACGTCACCGTACGACGACCGTCCGCGATATCGCGGTGTGCATTTTCCGATTGGAGGTGCGTTAAGTTGATCAGATCTCCTTCGCGGGTAACTGCGACTTCATTAACACATCCACATTCCGGGTCGAAAGTGGGTCCCCCAAAAGTAGTCCCCTCGTGCTGTCGACGTACGCGCGTATGCGTGCTTACGTACGTGTACACGTGTTACTTCTATCTACCTACCTACCCATCTACCTACATACCTACCTACCTACCTATGTGCGCACATATGCATATATATGCGGCAATGTGGTTCCCCACTTTCGTTGGCCCCCATCGTCGCTGGTTTACCTCGTGCTCCGTACTGGCTCGCAGCACACAATGGACTCCATGCTATAGTTAGACTACGATTGGTAGTGGGTACGCAAGTATACGCGAGCGTATACAGTAAGTGATGGTTCGTTGAGGGAGAGAAAGAGAGAGAGAGAGAGAAGGAGTGAGAGAGACACAGAAAGAGAAAGAGAAAGAGGGAGAACGCGCACGAGAGGGACTCCGTTACGAGAACAAGGGAGAGAGAGTAGGAGTTAAACAGAAAGACGAGGATGGGAAAAGGAGGAGAGAGAGAGGCAGAACGAGAAACTGCGAGGTAGAAGTTCAGTCGGTCTTGCCATTTCAGTTTCACTCCGGCTCGGCCTGAAATCGCCTGTGTCCACGTTGATCCGTCCAGCTCGTCTCGCGGCGGTCCGTTCTCGGCGCCTCCTACGAGTTTCTTCGTATCGTTCACGTTATCCGCGACACGCGTTTTCCGCGTGCGTACTGTCAATTATTATTATTAGAACTCGCATCCTATCAGCGGGGGCGGCTTCCCACAGGAGAAAGGAATTGTTTGTTTTTTTCCGCGCACCCCGCCGTCTGGGGAAAGGAACCTGCCCCGGGATCAACGTGAGTAGCGACCGTTGAGCAATCGATCGGCGTCCGTATCCAACCGCGCTCTCCGCGTGGGGAAATGGCTTTTCTTCTTTGCCTCGATTGTACGTCGAGAGATGCAGAGAGCATGAGAGCACCATCGCCGTTGCCGCGGCGTCGCGTCGCGTTACGGTGATTCATCGACAAACTTTCCCGCCGTTTATGATTCTTAACGGGCGACCGCTCGATACAATTTACGCGCGCATCACGCTCTTGCGCGCGAATCTCTCTCTCTGTTCCTTCCGCAAGAAATAAATATTCCAGTAAGAAAAAGCTGTAACACGGGAGCGTGAGATGGCACAAATAAAGTCGTTATCACGCTCTGACTTATGGTGTCAAGAAAACAAACGACTAGTTTGTTTACTCGACGTAGATCCGTCGCGGCGTATATACTGAGGACGTGAATCAGAAAGGAAGTGTAATTAGAAATGATTTGGTTTGTTGAGGAGATAATATATGGATCAACGTAGTCGCCCACGTCTCCCGAATAATGATTAGTCCGACAAAGCGACCACGGCGGAAGCTTGTTCTTTTCTCTTTTTTTTCAATTAACATTACTTATACCTGAACGTCTAATGACGAACCAGGAAGTCCTAAGAAAATAAAAAGTTATCTCCATCATATGTTTGAACGTTTCGATAAACACGCGCATGACACTTTGACAGATAGAGCTAACAATCAGCGAGTCGCGATCATCGTACGACGACAATTATACTATTTCGTTGTATTCAAACGCGCTATCGACGCCACCGGAAATTAATTCGCGGTTTTAGTTACGCATTTTTATCCTTCTTCCGCCTTTGACAACATCGTACGATAACGTCAGCACTTCGAAAAACATCGCGTTCGCAACTCGCGAGAGTGCCCCGCATGCCGGCCGCGTCGCACAAGCCGGTAATCAAGGATTTCCGATGCAGTGTACGTTCATCTACAAAGATCACTACTTTTCGTGATGAGTAACGGTCGCATAAGTCGCAAGCAATTGTACCAGATGTTAGAGAACGTCAGATAATCGAAGCGTGGAAGTGCACGTGCCGCGCAGTGCGAAATAATATGGATCGGCGCGGTTAAGCGAAAACGAACGACGGCTAGACAGGAACTAGGATCGTAATAGTACGATTTACCTGGAAGAACAAAACCCGGCGACCTCGACCCTCGAGAACGCCGCTTTCAGCTCATTAGAGAGTCCCGGTTCTTGTCTTTTCTTATACGTAGAGATACAGTGAAAATTATTATAGAATTTTATAATCGAGCACGGAAAAGAAGTCTAGTTGGATAAATCAAATTCTGGTGAAATACAAACAACTCAGAATTTGATTGAAATTACTAGAACTCTGTTTAAGTTATAACCTCAACCGGAATTTTTGAATCGCTCATATTTCGTCAGAAATTGCTTCGTTCAATCAAACTTTTTTTGAACTGAACTATGCTATTAAAAATTGGCTATGTTTCCGACCAAATTTACTATGTTCTTTAATAAGACAGATCTTATTGACAGTCTATTTTTACGCTACTAATAACATAATGAAATTAAAAAGAATTTTTTTTTTTAATGAAAAAAGACTGTATAATATTCTTTTCGTGTACTCAGCGTTTTTGTTACATGCTGCCACCCAAGTCTTGAATTTAAGATGATTGAAGATATTATAGATATCTAGTCCAATAAACTATTGTTATATATAACTTCAAGTCTGACAAGTACTATAGACGTCTAGACAGTAAGAAGCCTAATTCATACACCTTCGATGATTGGAACTTCCCGTTGAAAGAAAGATTCATACGTCTGACTGGACAATTCTCGTTTGTCGCTCTTGGGAGCAACACCTCCTGCACTAGCCTGGAAATAAAGTGCTCGTCAGAGAATCCCGAGTTAAGCCGGGATTCATTCATTCATTACACTTGATGGTACATCGCGACACACTCGCGCTCGCAGCGGCTCGCGCTTCGGACGTTTCTTTCGGCGATTATTCCGTGACAATTGTTTTCGCCAGCTCGCCGACTCGAAATCACTCACAGGTGTATGAGCGCATTTATTTTTAACGGCGTACACACGAGATGTTCTCGCCTACGCGGCCGCATCACGAGATAAATACGCGATTGTTCGCCAAGAGATCGGCGCGCGAATTGGATACTGATTTCTCGCGCACGGGAAAAGCGTCGTTCTTGGTTCGAAGTACCAGGATGAGTATACAGAGGCATTCAAATGCCTATACTTAATTTCTGCAAACATTACACACATACACACACACACACACACATACACTCTCTCTCTCATTCTCATTCAGTAACTTTCGACTTCACTTGCAGCTGCAGTGAAAGCCTTAAATCAAGTATGCGTTGTTTTCAAATGTTGATATCGCTGGACTGATAGACAAATGAATGACGTGTGCTTCATTGCCTTGAGGAAAGAATGTTATTCGACGAGTCGTAATAGAATAGACGAACTACATATTTCAGAATTCCGCTGAATAACCACGGCGCGTACGTAAGTGATGATGTCAGAAGGCCTAACGCTTAGATACGTTCTTATTCGCGTGTTGCTTCGCTGGGAGTGAATGATTTATCAACAAGTACGTCTTAGCGCATAATTGTCTGGAAAATATTCCCGGAAAATGTTCGGTCTCGTTGTTGAGTTGCAAATTAATTCATGAAGCGAGTCCACAAACAGAGATGCGCACAATCAGTTGAATTTATCGCAATTTTTATCGCAAATAGTTGCGAGGAAACCGATACGAATACGACAATCACTAATTCGAAATGCTCGTCAAACACTTGCGTTTTCTGGGTCGGCGTATACACAGATTCTCTCAGTGAGGCCTCATGCGAGCTAGCAGTAATCACATGCGGTTTATACGAAGTGTGATCTAAGCGTTTCGCAATACAAGACGGAGGAAGCGACGGTCGTGAAGTCATCCGAGTGCTCCGCGAGAGATCGCGAATGCAAGCTGCGCGTCGCGTCATTTTTACGCTTCGCACCGGCCGTGGATTACTTAATGCGGAGGGAGCAGCGGGGGCCACTTTCTCTCTCTGTCTGGTGTAACGTGTTTTTGAGGCAGTGTGCCGGTGCGTGACCGAGGTTCCGTGAGCTCCATTTATACACACGTTACAAAACACGCAACCTTACGTAGGTGCGGTATGCGTTATTATTGCGCGAGCGATAGTGATCGCTCGACGCGCGCCACCTAATTCCTGGCCGTAATTGGGGGCCATGTTGCGTCGTTGGGCTCCGGGGACCTACGCAGATGCGTGCGTGCGCGTATATGCGTGAGAGGCAGGTGGAGCGCGTCCTTCGACCAAAAAATGGGTCATCAGGCGAACGTTACACGGGAATCACATTGTGGAAGTCGCGCACTCATCTTCCTGATTCGACGCCTCGCGGCATAAATATCGACGTTGTCGAGAGAATGGCACACCGCTGCGCTATTCTCCATCGGGTTTTAATACGCGTTTGAAAAACAATAGCGAGTAATTGAGCCGTGTGCGCAGTATTTTAGCTTCAAAACAGGAAGCTGACCTCGCGGTTGTTTCCCGAGCCGTGAAAATTCACGTTCATCACGTACGCTCGTTTTTCCACCTGGTTCGCAAACAGCGGGACGTCTAATAAGACTAATAAGCATAAAAACTACCAAAGGATATAGGTGACAAAAGAGAAGAAGAGAGAGAAAGAGAAACGCATTCAATTAAATTAGGAATTTTACTTTAACCATATCGTAAATTAAGTTTCTCCGAGATGATGAATGTTACAACTGGAGATTCGCGAAATTTATGTTCCACGCCTGTGGATATACGGTCAGGGCTGAACGGTCAAGGTGCTACAAACTGGACCAAACATAAGTCTGATGTCATCGAGACGCGCGAACATAATTATGAGCATCGTACGTGACCGTAATGAAAATTCAGATAATTGCGTTCTACAATGACTCGTGATGTTCGAGCCGCTAAATATTATTACGTCTAAAATAAGGGGAAGTAAAATAATTTATCAGATCATGACAATTACGATGAAAAGCTTTTTCAGTACAAAACACGAGACATTTACTTGATCGCGCGGAACACCCGTAATTGGATCCGCGGACATCCGATCGTGTTAAATCGCACCGCTCGTTTTACTCATGCCTCTCTATCGTTTTGTCCACAGATTAACGCAAAGAAAGCGGGATGGGATACGGCGAGATGGACGGCTGCGGCCGCTGTATGAAGTATTCCTTGTTCTTCACAAATTTCATCATCTTTGTGAGTCTTGCTCTCGCGTAATATTTCCCTTCACTGAGAAAAAGAAATGCTTCATATTTGTATAACTACACGGAAAAAAAGAGATGTGATGCATCTAACAAAAAATATTTAGTTATAAGCAAATAGATGCATTATTCTACATATTTTTGTATGATAGTTATGTGTATGGTTGATTTGACTTACTTACTTTGGTGTGTCAACTACATCAATGAAGTTGCGCGTGATCTGGTTGTGGCAACCAGAAATTAGTAAGGGGATCATTTTGCATAGACAAGCTAAATATCGATATAGTTGCATTAATCAATGCTATATTGCAAAGCAGCGATGTTAGAAAACAAAAGCAATTCACTACGCGCACAGCGTAGAAATGTATACATGCGAAAATTGGTTCTGAGTGTATAAATATACATTTGTAGTTGCCGCGTAATGAGCCGCATTTGTATTAACCATGTATTATCACTGCTGCAACATAAGTAACTTAGCCATTGCTCTTTGGTTACAGCAACCACATAAATAGTTGTTCCGTATTTTACTATTGAATCTGGTTGGCACAACCAGATTTCTGTATGGATCAACCATATTGTTTTTTCCGTGTATAATTCACATAGAAAAATAATTACGATAAATTATGGTGTCAAGAAAACTTTTTTTTCTTAAATTCTACTATAATATTAGTAATAATAACCTTACATGTTACTACTACCATTTCCGTAGTAGATCAATTAACATATAGTTTTGGGGCCAAAAGTAACAATAATTTCAGTTAGATCAAACATTTTTTTTTCTCTGAGTATTATTATTGGAGATACGATTATATCATCATAGTATTACCTCGATTCGCCTTTCAGATCGGCGGGCTTATCGTGACGGGCTTAGGCATATGGGCCTTGGTGGACAAGATACCGTGGATAGGCGAACTTGTGGGAAATGATCTATTGACTGGATCGGTTTACGTCCTGCTTGTCGGCGGGATCGTCGTGGCGATAATCGCCTTCTTCGGTTGCGTCGGTGCAGCGCGGGAAATCAAGTGTATGCTCTTGACGGTGAGTTTCGAGGATTCGTTTGCACGCCGAAACTGGGCCATCGAGATCTCGATTTCGCAATTTTCGTATCTCGCGTTACATATCTTTCGCCGGTCGAGCCGTCAATCGAGTTTCCCCCGTCAAGAAGTACCCCGCCCCTCTACTCCAGGACTCATTCTCCCGAATGAGAAGTGCGATTTTGTTGCGTACCATTGATTGGGCATTTTCTGTTTCCAGTACTTCATAATCTTATTTTTGCTGTTCGTGACGATGCTGATCGGCGGCGTCCTCGGTTACGTTTTCCGCGAGAAATTACTCAGCACGGTCGACAGGGAGATGAAGAGCACGCTCCGGCTCTACGATCATCGTCAATCCATCCGGGACGCCTGGGACACCACGCAATCGACAGTGAGTAACACCACAGGATTTTATCAGTCGCCTTGATCCAATTCCTCTTTGTACCGTGCGAGTCTGCGCGTTACCGCCGTAACGTATTATCATGCAGACCTTCTAATATACAATTATCCACACTGAAAACAATATCTAAAAATTAATATTTATTAGATGGACACCATTAACATATTTATTTAAATCAAAATTCTTTTTATTTAAAGTATAAAGTATAAAGTATACTCGGTTTCAGTAAGCAATACTCGGCTTAAATGAAAGGAATTTTGATTTAAATAAATATATTAATTAATTAAACCCACCTAATAATTATTTGTTAACTTTTAAATATTTTTTTTTAGTGCATACTTTGTCTATAATACACCTCTCTTTGTCAGATAAGTATTTTCTACAAGAATATGAAGTAAAAATCATCACAAATATAATTGCGGAACTGTAGTTCTTTCACTTCCTTGTTTCTAACCGATCTCATTTATTTGGATAAGAGGGAAGTCGAAAAGTTTGTCACGCTAATTCACAACTCTGAACTTTCACGAATTTCAGCTCCACTGTTGCGGCGTGAACAGCTGGAGGGATTGGGCAACCTATGGACTTAACGTGCCGCGGAGTTGCTGTCGAGAAATTCAGCCTGGCCAGGTAAAAATCAATTGTGTCGACTTGGTCGCGTCGGTTGATGAAATAGTTAGTCGCAACGAGTGCGCGGCGGTGCGTAAGTAATGATGGTGATTCGCCACGTATACGTGCCTCATGATACGCGATGGCACGTTTATATGCGTGCAGCAATGATTACGATACGTCACTCCGTTGCCTAACGACAACCGTCTGTTTCATTGTGGAGTTAATAGCCCGTGAAATTCAACGTGATCTTTCACACAAAGCTCTAGATTTATACTGAGAGAAAACATGGTTGGTATTTGTAACTGCTCGTACAACACAAAATACATTTAAGACATTCCAATTAAAGAGATTAAAAACATACCAAAGATATCTGGGATATCTCTGGACGTCTCTAGAATGTATTTTCGACAAATGTGCTCTGCATAATCTTATAGGGAAATCATTATTATAATAATTACTATACTGCTAATGTTATTGTTATCATTTTCGTGTTAGAACATGCAAAAAGTACGGTTAAGGCCAAAATTAATTATAATTTCAGTTGGATTAGCCATTTTTTCTCTCACTGTACACAGTCGACGACGACGTGGACGTTTTTCGCGATCGGTATTCAAATGGCGATTGGCGAATCGATGTCGATAATTATTCGATGCCATCGCGACTTTGGGCACTCACGACTCGCCGATTTCGCGTCGAAGACCGTCAATTGGGCCGCAATTACTTAATCGACCGAGTCCTAACCGCCCTATCCTCTCACGCTTTCACTCCGATCGGCTTTCTCGGTGGCGAGGGGTCGCTTCTCACGGACGTCCGTTTTGCTCGCCTTTTCCAGCGATTCCATTGCAACGTCGGCTTGGACACGATAAATCCCTCCAACGCTTACGTGGATGGTTGCATCAACGGGACGCAAATTTATATGCAGCAGCACGCGGCCGTTATGGGTGGCGCCGGTATTGCAATCGCATGCCTCATGGTAAGAAGCAGTTTACATTTTTATAGATTTCCTCTGTTGTTAAATCTAAAGAGAGTCTCGCCGTTGGAAAATCGAGCACGAACTGCTGCTGACTTCGCGATTGAATTAATTTTACAGTTCGCGATCTCTCTCCTTCTTCCTTCCGTCTCACTCGGCGGCTGAGGATCTTCTTGAATTTAAAAAAAGGAAGATGGAAGAGAGGCTCCACTGATATTCGATCAATAATCCACTGGAAAGAGCTAATAAGAGCTCTTACCAGAGCTCTACCAGAGCTGTGTAACGGCTCTTATTAGCTCCTTCCATTCGATTATTCCTCCAATTTAACGTTTGTACTGTCTGTTGTTTAGATACCGCGGTCTGTTGTTTAGATACGTAATATTTATTACACTGAAAGAAAAAAATGGTTGACTAACTAAAATTATAGTTATCTAACTAAAATTATAGTTAGAAATTATAATTAGTAATTATAGTTATCTAACTAAAATTATAGTTATTTTTGGCTCCAGTCATGTTTTTCGTTTATTTTCACATGAAAATGATACTAGTGACATGTATAAGGTCACTATTATAGTAAAATTTAATAAACAAATTTTTTCCCTTGATCATAATTTATAATAATTATTTTTCTATATAGTTACAAGTACTGAACATTTTTTCTCGATGTATGAAGGGATATGTCACGTTTGATTGAATTCCAAATCTCATTGCAGTTTCTTGGCATGATATTCTCCTGCGCACTCTTCAAAATGATTGAATGACGCAAAGACAATTTCACGGTATGAGTCTATTCCCGTATTCACAAGGAACGACGGGGAGGTGGGACGAGTCTTCGAGATCCTCAGGGGATTCACGCTAGGACTTCAATATCTTTTCGGACCTGATACTATTCGAATGCCCGATTATTTGGATAGTAAATAAGTGTGACACTTAAAATACGGGTTATCCGGGGATTCGGATTGTCCAAGATATATGAACAATTGAAGCATCGAATCAGCATCCGGATTTAAGTTCGCAGGAGAACACGCCGAACACGTTTGCAGCAATCTAGATCTTTCTCCCTGTTTATTTGTCAGTCAACAATTCGATATTCTGTAATTGCGATTTGACGATTTAGTCTGAGACGATAGTATCGATTAATGTATCTGGATAAAAATCATTTCAGATAGTATCGATTTATCTGGATAACAATTATTTCAGATAGTTTTGTTACTAAATTAATCAATTTTTTTATTCATTTATTTTGTACTTTCTTTTCGGATTGGATCTCGAATATCCGGATAGTCAAATGTCCGAATACTTGCGAGCTCTAAAGCTAGAAACACACGATGCACGTGCTAATCGGCACCTCAGTTCACCGCATAGATCTTCCAACGATAGTAACTCATGCAGTGAACTGAAAGTCGTATCGATAGTTCTTAGTTGAAACCTTGCCTCTGGCAAGATACTCAGATATTAATTTAGAGTCAGATGCAAATCTTTCAGCTGAATCACCGATTGCAAATGCAATGTGTGGTTCGAGTAGAAAATTCAGATCTAACACTAAATTCATATCTGAGTATCTCACGCGGGACAAGTTTCTAGTAACGACTATTAATATGGATCTGAACTGCTGATCATGCATGTAAGATGTGAAACCGTGCATCGTGCGATTCTTTCTAGCTTAATTCACACAATTTTATCGTCGACGTAGTTGCTCGTTGCTAAGCGCACTTGATTATATCGTGATAATCAAAAGAACGAATCTCTAATTGTACAGTTATCACGCTATTTTGTTACCTACATATATTATCTCGTAAGAGACATACGGCAAGGAACAGCCGTTACTTCATATTTTGGAACATAAATTCTATAGATATTTAAGACGTCTTCGCTTAGTCGCATGTGTCATTAGTGTGACCACGCATCGTGTACCTTGTATGTGCCGTAATAAATGCGATACGCATTATGTATTCTCTACGTATTCGTATTATGTATTCTCTAACCCTCTCGATAATCACTGTCGACACACATCGTACATGTGACAAGTTCATCCACCGTCGTCTCCTTTTACGTATTGCTTGTGCGATGATTTATCGTTCAGACATTTAGAACTATGATTCAATTAGAGCGACAACGCGTTTTGGGTGCCGTTACGTGTATTCCGAGCCAAATTTATTTAATGTGCGCGTATTATTATTCTCGTCGTTGTATAATCCTCCGAAATTGTCGGGTATTACGCGCTCTTCCACGTAACGTTCTAAGCAGTATCGCGTGCAGATTAATGGCCGCGCTGTGTGTTTGAGCGGGTCTTATTCACCCCTTCATCGCTCGCGACCGGCTGGCCCGTTGCATTAAAGCACGACGCGTCACTGTAATCCAGGCGTCTCGCTAAAGTAAACTACCTCGCTGCCGCCGTAGTTCGTCAATTCCCTTTCCATTCTTCCAGTGATTATCGATTGTCGCGATTTGCATGTCGGCGCGTTGCGTACAATCGCGTTCAAAACTCACTCCGGATCGCGTTTGCGCCCACACTGAGATAAAGAAATAGTTGATTTAACTGAAGTTACATAGTTACATAGTTATTTCTAATCCCAACCATACTTTTTTCACAATGAAACAGTAATAGTAACATGCATATAAGATTATTATCGCTAATATTATAGTAGAATATGATGAAAAAATGGTTTCTTTCACCATAACTTAGAGTGACCATGATTTAGAGAGATCCCAATCATATTTTGTTTACATGGTTAAACGGTAACTTACATATAAATGTTATTATCGCTAATATTATAGAAAGAGAGAGAGAGAGAGAGAGAGAGAGAGAGAGAGAGAGAGAGAGAGAGAGAGAGAAAAGAAAGAGAGAGAGAGTAGATAATACTAATATTAATATTATAATACTAATATTATAATAAAATGCTCCTATAATAGTATTCTACTATAATATTACAGTAGAATTTAATAAAAAAAAATAACTTTCTTAGAACCATAACTTAGAATAATTATTTTTTTGCGATTATAGCTATAAATACTAAAAGATTTTCTTCTCAGTGTACGATAAAATCAAATGGGAGACTATAAGAAACTCATGAGAAATCCTGCCCGGTCAGGGAAAAGTCAATTACCTCGACTCGGTCGCGTTGGAAGATGAAATAATTAATCGAGTGTGCGACGGTGTGCAAGTAACGATGGTAATTCGCCGTGAAATCTTTTGTTTCTGTCGCGTTAGCTTCGCTCGACTCCACTTCGTGTGGATGAAAATCGCCGACGGAAACGTTATATCTCGTGCGGAAAAAAATGTCTAGAGGAAGACGCACGTTTTAATGCAGCCGGATGACAGCTGAACCAAGGATTAAATTCAATTTCGCGGGTTCGCGAGTGCACAGAGACCGGTAGATCTTTTGTCTGCCTGTCAAATTGACACTGAGAGAAAAAGGAAAGTTGATTTAATTAAACTAAAATTATAATTATTTCTGGCCTATATTCTTTGGATGTCTTCGTCTGACACGAAGTGAAGTGTAGTAACTTGTATATATTTAGAATGATTCAACCCATGAAATTATGAATTTTGCAGTTTTGTTTTAACAACGGACGTTTATATATGTTTTTCTATATAAAACAAAAAATTTCAAGCTTTGTAGGTGCTTAAAATTAATTAAAAAACAGTTTATTTTTTACTAGTTGCCCACCATTATTGCTGGTTGCTTCTTTTTTAAGAGTTAGGCTTGTCAATGAATATTTTTAAAAAGAAGGAAACTGATTATGTCTGACTTCTGGAATGATTGTGAAAAACCTCACACAAGTAGTGTTATCTACTTTTTAAATCATGTATCAAATGATTAAATGAAAAACAAGGCTCTGAGAGTAATATACAAATATCAAGGCCAAGTAAGAGCCAGATAGTACATATAGCGAGTATCATGGATCAAATTTTCATCCTCATTTTTTTCGAAACACACACTTCATCATAGACTGGATCATTTCTGCATAGCTACGACCAATCTATAGCAATTATTCCTCTATGTGATTATAGTTACAAATAGTGAACATTTTTCTATCAGTGGACGAGGCGCGGCTAGGCGAGGTCGCGTGCGTCGTATACTACGAGTGTACTGCAATTCTCTATGAGTGTATCAACAACTTGACTTGCTCTCTGCCTCTCTCCCCCTATGTCCTTCTCGCCGCAGCTACCCCTTCAGGTTTATTCACCCCAGCGTGCGTCAGCCCTACGCATGTCCTCGCGACGAGGCGTGCCTGCTTGCCTGCCATTCCGCAGACGTCTCATCGAATCATGCCAAGCGAGTAATTTTCCATCGTTGTCCCTGCGAACGCCCGTTCTTTTCCTTCGTTTTCTTCTCTCCTTCCCTGCCGCGACCCTTCTTCATCTCGTTTACCCAAGCATTCTGTGATGGCTCGAAAGAGGGTAAACAGAGAGCGTCTCCTCCTCTTCCATTCTCCTCCACGTGAATGATAAATGAAGTGGATTCTGACTTTTCGCGTGATTACGTCGTCGCAGACGCGCGTCCCTTCGCGGCTAGTTCTTTCGCTAAATTAGTCGGTACTTTTCCGTTCGGGTCAGCCGACGGGGTGAGCGTTCCTGCCGACGTGACACTCGCGAAGAGCTCGGCGAGAGCTCGATAGTCGTCGTCGGCTAGTTCCGAAACGGAACGGGGCACCTATACAGGTATCACGGACAATGTGAGCGCGTGTGCCGTGCGCACTTGTAACGACTCGCCGGTGAATAAGCCCATATGCCGCGAGAGCCATCCTCGTGTAACGTTACAAAGGGACGCCGGACAATGACGAATGAATCGCTACATACCGCGCGAATAATGCTGCCCGTTCTGCGCGCTGATCACGATGAGTGCCGTCCTTCCAGAATGCTTTTTCTCGTTTCTTTGTTCGTGCTCTCCCTCTTTCTCTCCCTTCGCCCCTCGCACTTTCGCCCTCAGTCGACGATTCGCACCGTGCGATTATGCGTATTGTATCGATATTTAATAAATTCGACGTCTTCATCGGCGCGCCGCGAACGTTTCCATTGTCTCACCGAGGTTGCGTTCGAGGAGACGTTATTTAAGGCTATGAGTGTGCTCTGTCCTTGTTTGTTCCTGAAAGTTGAACAAGGACAGAGGACGCTCATAGCGTTAAATAGCGTCTCTCCGAACGCAGTCCGAGAAAACGAATCGCGCGCCTCGATCGACGTGTATTCTCCTTTCGTGTCGCAATAACGATCCGCGTCTATCGACGCGCGATCGTACGGCCGGGAAATGTTCGCTCGTGAATTCCTCACTGTCTCGGGTATTCGGCGGGCGCGATTTTCCGGATTTTCCAGACCACCGTTCCCGCCGCCGAAGGAGATTAAAGAGCGGGGAAATCTAATTCCCTTGGTTTTTGCTTGCCACGCTTGCCAATATCTCGGCGAACCCTCCCTTCTCTCCGTTTTCTTCCCCATTTCTTTCTTTTCTCATCTTCCTTTTTCTGGCACACTTTACCGCCGTGGAACTTATTACCGGAAGCGGCGCGGGCACGTGGGGAACGGGGAAAATAGCTGAGGCGCACAGTATCTACGTATTGATTTCGTCTCGAGCATTGAATCCGCCAGAACTGGGGGAGTCGACCAGGTGAAACTGAGAACTCCGGGCCACTTTACTCTGGCGTTCTTGTCCGTAAATTAAATTCTACTCCGCCGCGCGCGCAGCAGCCACGGACGGGCCAATGCAATTAGCTCGAGTATAACCGAACAATTATGCGAGTTAGCCCCATTGTAACTGCCTCTCCCGCCAAACATCATCAAAGGACGATCGATGTCGCGCGCGCGCGCAAAGTGTTTCAATGGATACCGCGCAAACCTAATTTCACGAAGGCGAAAACTTATTTGCCGCGCGTACAAGAGTCATTGTCGCTCTCGATCGTCCAGAGAATAAGCCTCCGGAGAATGAGAAATGAAATTATTCAGAATGATACACCTTTTAATAAAGATATACGAGCGAGCAGCTCGTCGCCGCGGCGAGAAAGACTTGGCAAATATTTACGCTCTGTTCCGATATTGTTTCGCGAAAATCGCGCACCGACTTGCACGAAAAAGTCCTATCCTGCGCGACGGACACGGAGGATAGAACGGGCGAAAGGAAAAGAATCGTAAAAGGCAAAGAATAAAAAGGGAATGTTTTGCGAGACGGGAATGCTGGCGGAGATGAAACGTGCGCGCGGCAGGATGGAGGAGTCGCCGAAAAAATGGCAATTTCCAGCGGGACTCTGTGCCAACATTTTCCGATCTTCTTCATAAGAACAAAGCCGAGTCGCCTGTACCACATCGAGACAATCGGTCGATGAAAAACCTACGCTGGAAACGCGACAATGCACTGAGAAGCCGCATCCCGACTTGGCAGCCGCGCCTTCGTGATGAAACCACCGGGGATGCGTTACTTTCCCGGCGGGTGACGAAATCGCGAGTCCAATGACCGATTTTGCGATTTTCGTGCTGTGAGTCGCGGAAGGAAGTTAATCCCGCGCGCTCCAATCGATCTCGCACTTCATCGTGAGCGCGCTTATCGAAGGAGTAACGAGAGATCTCAT